ATATCTCAGGACTTGCTTGACCAATTTCAGCCAAATTCGGTACATAACATTATCTTGACAGTCTTATGTTGCATAGTGAAATGGGTACAATCGGACTACAACCATGCTTTTATTTCACAATTTCAAATTCCATATGATTCATTCACTTTCCAGTACACAAATGAAGCACCAATGAATATATTCGGATAAAACTTTGCACAAATAGTTCCTTTGAGGTATCCCATCTCGAGTCTACAAATTGTCAAAATCGGACCATAACTGTTCAAGCCCCTCATACCGAATATGTGGACACCAGGACGTATGACTGCCTTTTTTCCGAAAGTATCGTGAGATATATTGTTAAAATTTGTGAAAAATGTTTCCTCGATTATCAAAAATGGGTGGTACCTAATAAAAACATTTTCGAACTTCCAGTTGACTTTATACCACATATATCGGCTAATTTGCTGATTATTTTAATGAAATTAAGAAAGCGTGTTTTCTAAAAACAGTGTATCTTCGGGCCTAAAATGGATAAAATCTAGCGAAAACTTGCCTTAGCCTTGAAAATAAGTTCTCAAGTATACCTGAGCAATGTCAAAAATTAATGCAATCAGCTCTTCCATTTCTATGCCCCCAATGATTTTAGTCAAATTTTTGCTGACGGGAAGTAAAATATGGTAATGAAACTAAGTGAGTTTATGACCTTCAAAATAACCTAATATGATACCAAAATGATTGTAATCCGTTCCCCGTTTCGTCGAACAATGAAGTTCAATCTTTTCGCTACATTTCTTTAAATAAATTTTTGCCAACACCTGAAAGTATTTTCCAAGCTTTTGGTTTTGGAAGTTGCAAAAGTACTTGTATAAAATGCTCGGGTACACCCGAACTTAGCCCAGCCTTATTTGTTATTAATACTACAACATTTAAAAAAAAAAACACTTAAGAAATGCATTGATATATTTTGTGCTGGTTTTATTTCTAGAGGTTGAAAAGTAGTTGTTTATATATTTGGAGGATCTTGTAAACGTGAAAAGAACACAGTCGAAGAATGGAAAATTGTTTATTACATAAAGACGTATGTATATAAATGAATTAACGTCAAGAGTAAAAGTGACATGTAAATGGCTTGCCTAATAATCAGAATAGTTTTTTATTTTATAACAATTCTTTTGTCAGCGAATATGCCAAAATTTATCATCGTTTCAACCACCGACAGCTGACTAATGCAAAAATATATACATATTTATATTTATTTACTTTTAATACTTCCGGTGTAGCGCCAATATCATCACGTTGAAAAAGGATGTTGACTTTTTTATATTAAAAAAATGCACTTATGTGTACACATACCGTAAATGCATCGTGTATCGTGCATATATATATATGGAAAAAGCTATTATGTATGTGAAACTTATATATGTATATGTATTCATGTGAATTTTTATACTAAGTTTCACATACATAATAGTTTTTGCACTAATGATTATTTGAGATAGCGTATGCTTGGGCAAACATGTCAAAATATATAATACTCAAAAATTTTATAATTTGCGAAAGTATCTAATAATCAATTTCGTCCTACCTTTGACCTACCTGGCATGTTAGTTCTAATTTCTGCTAAACAAAACGTGAGTAACAACAAATAATTTAATTCAGTAGAAACCAAATTTATTAAAATAGCGGTATTTCACCTGTAAAAAATGATATTAAAAGTTATAATAAAAAGTTTCGAGTAATTTCGACGACGCTTTGTTGAATTATTTATTACAATTTTTCAAGCCTCAATCTACAGTTAAAGTCCCCTATTTAACAAATCTCATTGGACTTGAACAATAGTTGAATTTTTCTTTTACATACATACATACTATGCATGTATGATTAATATGTAAGTTATTTACCTATTATATTCTTTTGTCATTGCTTGCACGGGGAGGTGGCTGTTATCATTTTATGAACACGCTAATCGTGAAAACCACTTACCTATATAAATACATATATATATATGTATATACATATATACCTACATATATTAAAATTATGTGTTTTAGGAAGTGCTTATAATTATGATTAAGCAACGTAATATTATATATACATACCATATACGTATGTACATACATATATATATCTATGTCATTTTTATAAACACTTCCTAAAACACATATTTTTTTAAAATTTATTCAACGTGAATATTCAATATCGAATAAAGTAAATAATGACATTATTTTCCTTCGCACATACATACGGTATATTGTACATATGTACTATATGTAATATGTATACAAAAATTCCACATTTACTATCTAATTTACTACAAAATGAGTATGAAAATATCATTTTATGATTAATATGAAATAAATTCCAAGGCGCACTTTTCGTTTTTCATAACTACACTTATACATACAAACACATACCATATATTCCTTTTACATTATTGCATGACAGATGGCATCAAGTTCGGCCAGTTCTTAAATGCTAAAATTTCTTACTAGTATGTTTCAAGGCTGACTGAATTTGAACCGAACGAAATGTTTGTAAGTAAGTACTATTGAAAAATAAATATAACTTAGTCTTGAATTGAAGGTTTGCTCCGAAGATATGACAACCTTCACAAATACAAAAGATATACAAGAACTTGATTTTGATCAGTCATTTTGTATTGCAGCTAAATGCTATAGTGGTCCGATATGAACAATTTCTTCGGAGAATGTACCGCTGCCTCAAACAGTAATCTGTGCCAAATTTTGTGTAAATATGTTGTCAAATAAAAAATTTTCTATACAAGGACATGATTAACATACCCTGTTCAGGATATAACAAATCGCGTTCTTTTGATGTATTTGCAGAGGCCAATAAGAATGTGTGTGTTGTTTAATTTGTACATATGTCATACTTACATCACACGTCATATAACATATATACATTCAATAAAATTTTTTATACATTATATTATATATAATTTACATGCATACATACATACAAGTACCTATATGCAGTTTTTCCTTGCATCGCTAAAATAAAACTCAATTTGCCTTTTTACACGAGTACACTTACCGTAAATTCCGACAGAAATTATAAAGCGCATTGCATACTTCGATACATTTAGTTAACAATACCATATTTACACTTCTATTAAGACTATTCGCCATATCCGCTATGTTTCTTCCGTCTTCTGAGCGATATTTCTTTGTTAAAAGACATATCGAACTACAAAAATAATATCGAAATGTAGGAAGACCGCTATAATAGGTATGTGTATCGCCTTGGAATGCAACGTGTTGATATTGAATTTCACCAACAAAATATTTGTGAATTTCTTTAAAATGTTACGAACATTTCAGTTTTTCTGAAGTAGTTCCGCATCTAATTAGTAGTTGAAAAACGTTAACTTCGGTTGCACCGAAGTTATAATATCCTTCCCAAATAAAAAAGATTTCTTACAAGATGGCATGCTATATTGGTCCGGCATCGGCTATTACGATAAATGGCTAGCTCCTAGGAGGAGATTTATATATACCTTAATAAACCCTGTTCAGGGTATAAAAATCGACATATTTAAATATGTACATATGTATATATAATTTGTTACTACTATCTGTATTGTGACATGTGTTTACCTATGTACACAACCATGGATGCAAGCACACTCATCTGTCGATGCGGACACCAGTCTCATACCAAAAGCACACACATACTTGTACATTCAAGTGTTACATAAAAATATAGTATTTCTGAGTCGTTGTTTTCGGTTCACTCCGTTTTTTACCTTAGCACTCGCATTCATATGGCCTACAAATGGGAGCGCAAATAAAAGGATCCGGCTATTAACAGACATTTGATATTGTCGCCAAGCCCAAACCCTTTATTCTGGGACAGCAGCAATTGAATATGCTGCGTGTTAACGTATGGATTTGAGTTTGATCCGCTATGCTTTAAATTTGGCACGGTTCTTCAATGCTAAGTGCTTTGGCGGTTTAGGTAAGCTCATTTACTTTTCATTGGACTTTGAGCATTTCATTTTCGTTTTAGTATATTTATGCATACCCCTATGGCTTGATAATACTATAGATTTCTGGTTTCGATGAATTGCTTGCTAAGAAAGGTTCGACAGCAAGTTTTTATACAATTTTCTTATCTAAGATCTTTTTAATTTTTGTGTACACACTTATTCATACTGACTAAAATCTAAAAATTAACGTGTAGTAAGATATTCACATGGAACAATGTTAAATTTTTTAAAGGAAATTACAATCAGCAAGCTTTTTGGGCCAGCGGTTCATACTTTCATTTCAATAAATTTTACTGTATTAATTTTTTTAAATTCCCTGGGTTTTAAAATATTCATTCTTCATTATGTGCCCTTGTCTGCGAACTCCAACTACCGTTCACATGGCTTTTATGAGTGTTTTTATTACCTTCATCATATCAAGTGGCAAAGATGCAGCTTAGTTTGTCAACAAACCCCATTTATAAATCAATTACAGTGTGTCAGTTTCCTTTTGAAGTAAATATTTTATATTGAAACGAAATTTTCCAAAATGCAAATTAAGGACTTCCTCAGCACGACTGAATATTTGAAATAATAAACGAAAATAATTACTTCTAAGTATGCATATGTGCTAACATTTGATTATCGAATATGACCCTCATTTACCTTGCTTAAAATGAACGATCGCTCGTAGTCACTGTGCCGCAACGTTGTCTGCTATAACACTTATATGTACGAGTATGTACATATATACTATGTAGGTGTCGATGTTGGTCTCTGATTTATAAACATATACATGTATGTACCAATAAGAGTAACGCGCTAGTCCCTTGCAGCAAAGTCAACTAGTAACATACTACTTACCAAATGGTATGAACCACAAACCCAACTAGTTAGAAGATTGTCTTTTTCCATATCATCAACTAGTATTTTTTAGTGTTCAACCTTGTACCTGCTCGACAGATTCATAGCTGCCTAGATCAAATAAAGATCTCAAGAAAAATATTAATTAAAATATTGTCCACAGTGTTTTTTATTGAAAATTTACTAATTCTCCAATGTAAATATGTTGACTGTTTGATTCAACTTTCCTGATTCAACTTAAGTTAGGAACGTCTAGTTGTGAATGGTATCTGACTAGTTTGATTTCTCTGGATACATACAAATGTATGTCCATATGGGTCATCGGTCTAATCGCCATGGCAATATTTACATCAGCCACTTCAGCAGCTATTTCTGCATCTACATACATATGTATGTTTGTTTGTATTATGTCTACCATTTTAATTAATTACCTTAAACACTCTTTGAATGCAATGTTGAATAGAAGAAATGCGTTAGTGGGTCATTGGTATCAACGCGCCTCTGCGGGTCAACAGCAAATCGACTATTTCTTTTTATGTTCAATTTTCCAATGTGGGCGTGCTGCATTATGAAGATTCAGTATATTATGTGGTAGTACAACAATGCAGTAATAGTTTAAGGTTTCATCGGCTTAATCAAAAGCTCGTTAATATTAATCTTTGTAAAAACCGGCGACAAGCAGCTAACTACGGTAATACGAGTATTATAAGAGAGAAAACAATATCACAATGCAAAAGCGAAATTTGATTCATCATTCGATGCACGCTTATGAACATACAATATAATATATATATCAGCTGCTTAAGAGTTCACGAACGCCGACCAAATTTGTAACACTCCAAATGAATAAAAGCAATAAATAAATGTGCAAAGGCGCTGCTTATGAAAGAGCATATACGGTGAACTTTAAATAGAATAACGGCACGTGTAGGCATCACAAAATCATAGGTAGCACTTTGAAATTAAGAAAGACCAAGTTCCGACGGCTCCAAACAATATTTAAAGTGCAGTTTGAAATGTAATGTTGTACTTATGTGTATATGAGGTGTGTTCACCAGGTAACGCAACCTTTGTCTTTTACTTATTCATCGGTATTAACTCCTCCTTAAATGTTGGAAGAATTCAACTCTGAAAACACTTCTGTTAAGAAATTCTTGGTATTGATTAATTGAGTCCATTCATTTTGTGCGGTTTTTGATTTGCCAGTGATAGTGAATCTCTGTCCTTTCATGCATCGCTTTATTTGACGCTCTTGAGCAAATAGGCATCATCACTGTTCGACTGTACTTCGGAAGTAAAAATAGGATTTGCATTTGCAATGCAATTTATTTTCTATGTAGATTTTCTTAATTAATGGGTTCACTAATAATAATAGTACATATAAATAGGTGTAAATATACTATATGGCTGACTTAGTACCCATTGACCTTACACCTGAGTTTAACGGTTTCCTGTTTTATAATGAAAATTCCTTCTTCTAGTCGTTCCCGTGTAGAACTTTTATTTGTCTTTGCTTGTAGCACGACAACATTGCTTACAGCGGCCTTTGTAATTGATTCCAGTTTTGTTATTTAACTATCGCAGTCAACTTGTTACCTCATTTGGTCAAAAGCGTGTTCAGCGTAAAAAAGGAATACTTCATCTATGTACAAATGTATATGTTAGTATATGTATGATTAATTAAGCGTGTGGGAAAATATGTACTTGTAGTAAACTTAAGTCCCAAAATGCAATTAATGCCAATAAGTTTATTACGTACAAAAGCAAGCATTCACGAAAGTTCAAACAAACGAAGGTGTCCACCGCACTAATATTATACACACATTTTGAAATATTGGTAGCTCTATTATATATTTTATCTATCTTTTTTAATTTACCTGTCTTAGATTAAGATATCAGTCAGAGCCAAAGCTTGAGCACATGAAAATTGCATGTTTGCTAGCATTTAAAGCCTATTGTGTGTTGATTGCCTCAAGCCACTCTTCCTTTGTGGCAGCACTCGTTTTAAGCACGAGCCACAGTGGAAAAATGATGATAACTCGTTGATGGCACGCTACGTATAAACTATAATTTAGACCATTTATAATTTAATAGTATTTTAATCATTTATTTTATCAAGTGATTTCTCGTTAATATGCCTATCAAGCAGATTCGTAAATGAACTTATCTGAAATATGTACTACCTATTTTCTTGTACTACAAGTCTTCTTAATTCATAATTCTTTTAGAATTTAAATTTCAATAAATTGAAATAAAGTGAGAACATATACTACTAAACTGTTTCTCTATTGGTTTAGAATATTATTGTAAAATTATCTATGTATCTATTTATTTGTCTTTTCGGCCAAAAATATTGTCCCTAAATATTTTATTATATGGTATTTGCAATTTATTCCTAAATACACATATATAGAATTATAACGGTTGTTTTTTTCGAGGTATAGAACTTTAAGTTGGCATTACTGTTCAAAATGGCGACCGATTTAACAGCTGTCAAGTGATTTATTCTCAGTATGGTTTGGCAATTATCATAAATAGACTCACGTCTGAACAACGCTTGCAAATAGTGCAATTTTATTTCGAAAGTAATGGTTCTGTGCGGAATACGTATCACGCACTACGTTCATTTTATCGTATAATGCGATGAAACGCACTTCTGGTTGAATGGCTACGTCAAGAAACAAAATTGCCGCATTTGGAGTGAAGTTAATCCGTTACAGTCAATGGTGATCGGTATAGAGCCATGATTACTAACTTTTCCATTCCTGAATTAAACAAACATAATGTCCAGGAGCTGTGGTTCTAACAAGACGGCGCAACATGTCACACAGCTCGTGCCACAATCGATTTATTGAAAGACACGTTTGGTGACCGCGTAATTTCACGTTTTGGACCTGTGAATTGGCCTCCAAGATCTTGGGATTGAACAACGCTAGACTACTTTCTGTTAGGTTATGTAAAGTCATTGGTCTATGCGCATAAGCCACAAACGGATATCCATTTGGAAGACAACATTCGCTGTGTTATTGCCGTTATACGGCCACAAATGTTGGAAAAAGTCATCGAAAATTGGACGTTCAGATTGGACTACATCCGAGCCAGCCGTGGCGGTCATATGCCAGATATCATATTTAAAATGTAATGCCACAAGATAATTTTTCGGATAAATAAAATCCTATACCTCTAAAAAAACAGCCAAGTATGTACTTGAGATAGGCTCGCACGAGCAATTGGCTTCTCTGATCTTACGTCCATAACTATTCGGTGGAGTAGAGTCCCAGCCAGTCATTACTCTCTTTAATCTACAAAGGAAGAAATACCTATGTACGTATTTAAACTACCAACTTAAGACTCCAGCAGAATAAGGCGGCATGCTGAAGCCAGCTTTGGTAACTTTTCGTTGCATCTTAAATAAAAATATAATTGAACTCACAATAAACGATTTGAGTGTAATACAAAACGGTTGGCATAGTAAAATATCATGTCCAACAGAGAACAGTGGCAACAACCACTATGCCACGAGGAAGCTGCTGACACTTTAGATACTCAGCCGTAGTATATTAGACAGTAAAACCAGAAAACTACGCAAATTCTCTTCTACAATAATAACATCGGTGCTAGATAAACTGAAGCATCGGCTGTGTTTGGTAATTGACGTTGGAAAGAACACAGCCAGAGAAAAATATAAACAAAACATCGAACAAAGAAAGTGAACATGACTCAGTTAAACACGTTCTGATGAGCAGCAAGTTTGTCACAAAGCTGATATGTATGTGCGCAGAGAACATGGATTCATCTCCTCGTACGCTGGTTAATTCGACGTAAGCGGAAGCGAATGTATTACGTCGAAGTTGCATGAAAGCAGAAGCTATTGAACGCGTTTTTTTAACTTTAAACAATTGGCAATTTGAGTTGGCGACTGAGTGTAGAGATCAGTCGACTCGCGGCACAGCGACCAAGCGGACATAGAAGTTGCAACGTCGGAACCGCAACATTTAAAAAATACACGCGATATTGTTAATCGGGCGGTACGCTATAGTTGTTGTTTTCTAAAATTTTAGCGTTCAGATACGGATTTTGGTAAATATATAATTGTATATGATAGACTTCAAAGGAGTAGCAAGAGATATGTCAGTAATAAACATTGCATACATGTGCATAGTAAAATTAATAACTCAAGTGTCTTAAATACATACAAAAATTGTGCAAAACCTAAACAATAGCTGACCTATCGAATGAACTACAGTCGTAAAGAAAAATATACAAATACGTAAAGAAGTTGTTTATATAAGCATGATGATCTCCCGGGAAAAATAATACGATTTTTCTCAGGTAGAAAAAAAAACAGAATTTATGTTCGTACGTGGTAAGCATCGCCTGGTGTTATGGGGACATAACCAATACTGTGAATGCTTTCAAATCTCGGCCGCGACTAAGTCTATAAAATACTACAGATTTTTTAAGTGCTTACATGTCGCAGAAATGTTTCCATCTGACTTTTGAAGGAGACTAGTTTGTAGAGGCTGCCATTCCTCTGTTATATATGTGTACATACAAACACACTTATATGTTTATATATGTATGTACCGTATATGTAATAATATACTAATTACGTTATCGGACTCAATTTCAGTTGTTCTATACCTAGATATACATCCTTGACAGAAATATTTTTTTAAAATAAAAAGTATATGTATGTACATATGTATATCTGCATGCTTTTTACTCCAATTAACATTAATTATGAATTTTTAAATAGAACTTTATGGCTAAAAGTATTTAACATCTATTGCGTAGAGACACCAGTGCTTGCATTTATTGAAATAGATTAATTTGTTGCGCCGAGAATTGTATTAAAAAAGTGCCTCTGAATTGCCTCTCAGTTATTGCAGTGTTCAGTGTCTGATCTTAATGCAGATTTTCCATCTGTGTTGTTTCGAATAGCACCACGATGTTTACCTTGCACAGTAACAACAACGATATAAATAATAAAACAAACAAGTTCAGTCGTCGAGTGGGCTCTGGCACGGTCTCCCTTTAAACATAAACTTGTAATGAGCAAACATAGGAATGTAAAGAAATACACATGAATGTATATATCAGATATCAAAACTACATCTCGTAATGATAATCTAAATAAATTTGCTCTTATAGATGAAAATCGTTTGCTTTAACTCCCGGAATTTCAATAATCTGGCACAACACAACTAGTAAGTCTTTTTAAAAAGTCGGATTTCACTCATGGGCAAAATATTATTGTTAATCATGTGATATAATTCTAGAATCTTTGTAGAGAAGCCCTAAAGAAGTAGACGTATACACATAGAGACAAATATAGCATAACTATGCATAGTTCTAACAACTAGTACCTATGTACATATGTATAATTGTAGATCACATATACCTACAACTATATAAAAAGTTAACACTTTTTACACCCAACTTTATTGATTGGCGTTTAAAGCATTTATGGCAATTTATTAATAAGTATGAATTTACCCTAACTCCCTCTAAATACACAATTGGAGCGGCAATTTAAGAAACAATTCATGCATTTAACAGCTGCAAAGCGTTTAACCAGAAATTTTCTTACGCATTGTTTTGCATATTAACTGGGCGTGTTTATATACATATGTATACACCATATACTTGTATGTATGTTTATATAATATATATTCAGGATCTTTACATATGGACATGTAAAAATAAATGATTTATGGCCTATCTTCGAAATTCACAATCATTCGTAAAGAACACACATTTGAATATATAACGTATACATACATATGTACATATGTATACGTATACAATAAATAAGAAGATCAGATGGGGAATGTATCGAAATATCTTTAAATAATTATAAAAAATCGGTATAGTAATTACCTGATTTAGCACAAAGGTTTTATGAAGTTTGGACCATTTGTAATATTAACCTAGATGAAATATCTAATATTTTGCACTATTGCAGTCTCCTTTCCTTGTTCTATATAAAGCTCCATATTTCCTGCACCCATTGAATAAACCCGAAGAAACTTATCAAACCAGACGTTCACTTTGAAATCAGAAATGAGAATGCAAATATTTTGATAAAGATATCAAATGAATTTATATGTTAAGATCCATATTGTGTGAATAATTTTTTTATATTTATTTATTAAAGTCAAAACCAAATAAAACAATGAATATCAAATTTATAAGGACCCTTTGACCTAGAATTAAGGGGATGAGATTCTTTCCATATATTGTCCCTAGTATAACCTCTTTGAAATATACCATATCTCGGAAAATAAGTCTTTATTGTTGCCAACGAAAAAAGCTCATGAAAACAATATGCAGTTATTTCAATGTCTGCATAGATGTGGAGACTCAATAATTAATAGAAGTAAGAATATGAGCCCCCCTGATATTTTTATGTAGACAAAAACATGGAAAGGAAAAAATTAATTGCTGTTAAAGTGACTCGTCTGTGTGGCAATGTTTGACGATGTGCAGATCTGAATTGTTTACTGCATCGATATTTGAATGAAAATGAGTCTGTGCAGAATCGAAAAGGATTGAACTGACTGTGTTGGCTTCTAGAGCAAAGAGTGAAATGTGCTTATGGTAGTGTGTTGACAAGGCAAGGGTTGAGTAAATTGATGATTTTTTTCCTAGCGTTCGATTTAAATGAATGATACAGCCGTTCGGTAAATAAGCTGGCGGACTTTTAAGCGAATTTGTAGGTAAGTGTCCAGAAGTGTCAAAAACTAAGAAAGTTCAATTAGAAAAAGAAAATCAAAAACGACTGATTGAACACTCGGTGAACGTATCATTGATGGATGACCCCTCATTGTTCCCATTGTGCGTGCAGACCCTTGGCAGTCGACTGTCCCATACAAGCAACTTGTATTTTTCATGCGGAAGTCCTCCAAAATGTCATTTGTGAAATACAAGTGTCCTCCAAGTACAAAATAATTGGGAGTTACATCAATAAATGATCTCATCAATGCATTGAAAACTGACTATACATAAATCGGTAAAACCTCACCAATAAACCGTTTAATAGTTGGCCCCACACATGTCGTTTCGAACTCGCTTATTGTACTCTCGTATGTTGCTACAGAGTATAATAGTTTTGTTCACCTAACGGTTGTTTGTATCACCTAAAACTAATGGAGATAAATATGGAGTTATGTATGTATAAATGATCTGGATGTAAGATAAGTTGAATTTCGAGGGACTGTCTGTCCGTCCGTTGGTTCGTGCAAGTGATAACTCCAGTAAAAATTGAGATATCTTAATGAAACTGCTACATATGTTCCTTGGCACCTAAGTGAGGTTCATATTGCAAATGCGCGTAATTGGACCATTTCGCTCAGGATTATTCTTTTTGGCACCTCCTTTGACAGTGTGAAAATGTGTGAAATCAGATTATAAGTACTTCCATCCCCATATAAGGGTCATGTTGAACACTATTTAAAGCGCGATAACTCACAAAATAACTACGTAAGATAGTAGAGAAGAATTTCATAGGCGCCTATATTAAAAATAGTCAATGGGCGCGGCACCGCCTACTTTGAAGTAAAATCCTATATGTCAAGAAGTTCTCGACCAAATTCCTAGTAATAAAGTGTTCTGGTGCTAAAAATGGGTAAATTCGGCTAATTGGTTTCCACAGAACCCATAAGCTTGACATAAGGATTTTCAATGTTCCGGTTGACTTCATACCATATATAATATATCGGTCAATATGTCAGTTATCTTAATGATACTCAGGGATCAAATTGTAATATAATATAAGGATCAAAAATCCGGTTGACTTTATACCATATAAATTGGTCAATCTGTGAGTTATCTTTCTAATCGTATCGATATATTGTAATGAAGAACGTGAATGAAATCGAGTATTACTACCCGTAGTTCCTATATACCCGACATAAGAATTCCGAAATTCCGTTTGACTTTATACCGTATGTATCGGTCAATATGTAAGATATCTTAGTAACATTAAGTAATCTTATAACACGGGATATTCATTAGTTTAATATGACTGAAATTGATTGGTTATTCTTAATATTAATTTTTCCGACACAAATCAAAATTTAGTATTGAAACTAAGCGAGTCTGCTATTTATTATAGACATAAGTTTATATGATACCAAATTTGATGGTGAAATATTCGGGTTTTTCAAATAATGAGTGTTGAATCTTTACACAACATTTTTGATTATAAAGTTTTAGCGTCATCTGAAAGAATTTTCCCGACTTAGATCCTTGAAAATTTGCGAGAGTATTAAATGTGCGGTTACTTCGATTTCAATTATGAATTTCTAGTTATAAACTAGTGTTTTGCCTTTCTTGTATGAAATACCATATAGTTTACACAGGGTACGTTGCGTACATACGTACACATCTTATTACAAATACGTATGTATATACAAGTATATATGTATCTATGTATGTACATATGAGCGAACATTCAACTTATAGTTAAAATAGTTATTAATTAACACATTTGAGCACATACATACATGCTTGTGGAGGAAGGGTCTGCTTGGTGTGGTGCTTAGGGACTTGAGTAAATGATTATTTTACCATATGTGTGTAATAGCACTTAATATTTTTTACAGTTCATATGTCTCCGCCAGTGTCATTGTCAGTTTGTATTTAAAATGAATTGTAATTTGAATAATTAAACCCGTCGCCATCGAGATGGTGAGATCTTGGATCGCACAAACTTTTCAGTTTGGAGAAATATTCACGATTCCTCCAGCACTCGCGTAGTTCACCGACTGCTTTTTATTAATTGGCGCATATGCTTAATTCATTGTCTGACAGATGGCCAATAAATTGAAGCCACGTTTACAAGCGCAAGCTTCTTGTACTTACCATATGTACATAAATTAATATCGAGGCATGCTTAATAATAAAGTTTTATGTTTAGAAATAATACCATAATACACCATATGTCAAATTGTGTTTAAATATATAAAACAAGACAAAATATTGTTTCTTATCAGACCCTACTTTGATACTGAACCCTGATCATATGTGTAAAGCCTCACAGTATTTTTTATGGTGTGTAGTTTCTAAATTTCTTCATAAAGTAAATAAACTTTTACTCTACGGCTACCATACATACTTATACATATGGAATAGTCCTAATATTTCGGGCACTAATAGTAAATTGGAATTCATTTTCCTATTGAAATTTCGACAATAGTTACAGAAGTGTTCGTTCGATTCAAAATAAATACGGTTATTTTAATTTTATAACAAGAACACACATATTTAAGAAAAGTGAGCTTCGGGATAAGAACCTACAGAAAAATCACTTTTGGTAATTTACATTTACGTTAATAAACTGAATATAAATTTCTCGTTTACTATTTAAGATCTAATAAAACATCTTTTTTTAACACAGGATATTTGGAAATATGAACTTCCTATGTACATATGTAGTTAATGTTGAAAAAAAAAATAGTTCTAAGGAGTAAGTAATGTAAATAAACTCTACTTTAAGCCAATTAACATTAAACAATCGTTTACCGAAACTTCGGATCACAAAACATTTCTTCAATTTCACATTTCCTTTTCTTGTTATTATTTAAATTAGGGAATAACACAATAAATTAATCAAACTCTTAAATTTCATAAATTCGCAAAGCTCTAGCTTTGCCGGGTATCAGTAAAATAAATATTCTACAAACTAAAACTTTATATACATTATACTAATACATAAGAAGACAAAGGCACAAATACGTACAGGTACATACGATTTACATAGTACATATGTATGTATTTGGAAATTCTTGGAATTCATAATACGTAATTAAATGCATCAACGGAATCCTAAGCGCTAGCAGGGTTATCATGGGTGTGGATGAATTGTACATACATATACATATGTGTACATACTTGTACGCATCTCGAATTAACGTACCGATTTTCGTATTAATATGTTATGCTATGCTCAATCATGCGATATGAAGATTTTGCTGTACGTCCAAACGGATTACTTGGAATAGAGGATTCTAAAATTGAAATAAATAAATTATGAAAGATAGTAAAGTTCAAATATGCATACACATGTATATCTATCTATAACTACTTACATACCTACACACATGAGTTAACGTACATTACCATATTCACTATATGATGTCCATATTTCGTAGTATAGTATGGCAGGTATGGCATCGATAGTCGTGGATATTCAAGGGTTTAATCCGACATTTATAAATTAATGTTGATTTGGCCTCCCAAATGCCAAAACGTGGCTTTCCAAACACAACGAATTCATAAGAATTTTATGAACAATTTCTGATATGCATATTGTCTCGGACAAGTCACTTATAAACATTTTTACCCATCACTTTTTAGGTCCATCACATTTTTGGTTGAATTATTGATATTTCATGGAAGTATTAAATAATATAAATAATTAAAGCCAGTTGCTGAATAAATATATATATACATATAAAATGGCAAAAATTTTGAATTGGGCAGTCATAGCCGCGGTGCTTATTATTTTCTCCAAAGCCAATGTTTATGCAAAAGCCAGCGTTACAGGGCAGAAAGTCACTGCTTCGAATCAATCACAGGAATCGACGATGCAGAGAAACATATATCATAACCCTCATCAACAGAATTATCATAAATCATCTTTTGTATCTCAACAAGAAGGACGCCGGCAGCAAAGGATCCAGTTTCAACATCGACAAGTACAGCCAGAAATATTGTCCTCATTAGGCCCTAATACTCAAATGAAACAGGTTTACAATAAAACAAGGTCGACGAGACTGCGTCGCCTAAATTCACGGAACTATTATAACAATAATATTTCGCCACGTAGCGCTCGCAATCATCGAGGTAGTCCAGTTTGGAATTATCACATCTACAATGCGCATAGCAACACGTTTGAGTCGCCAACAAGTTTGTCTACTCTTGGTGCCGTAAATGTAGGTAGTAGTAGTGGAAAAGGCGACGACAATACTGATGATGTGGAATTTATCAGTCAGAGTGGAAATGACATGACCAGACCGGATTGGGTGAATACTCGTCGAAGTTATGGTTTTGTACCTCTGCATACAACAATTACACCATCAACAATTCCCCCTCCACCATTAGTGCCGGCTCAACGAGGTTATGTTACGGCAGCACCACCAAGCTTAAACTCGGACATGCCGCATACTACCGATCAGCCAAACGAGACAAATAGTATCGACTCAAAAGACATGGAAAAGTAAGTGAAGAAATAGTTTATTATAATTTAAGCCCCCTTTGCATTCATTATGATACCTTATATTACGATCGATTTCAGTTAATTATTTAGTGCTCAAAAGCAACATCCGCAATAAAATCAAACAGAAGTGCGGCGATCTTCAAAATAAGTATATTCCTTCGGGAACATATTGAAAGATGTTATACATTCTGAGAACAGAGTTGCATTAGTCAGATGTACTACTTGTGTTAAGTTTTATTGCGAATTGCAAGAATAGAAAAGAAAGAAGAAAAAGTATCACGCCAATTAGTTTAATTTTTTAACTGATCCTGATCTTTGTAGTTAATTTTAATTCAATTTAACAATTGAAAATTCAAGGGATGCTGAACAGGATACTGTTACGCACAAGAACACAAAGCGTGTCACCCGAGCAAGGGTCCACTTGGTTTCATCCCCCCCCGTTGCACCCGAAATGCTTTTAATTTGACAAAGCTGCTTCCACGAGTGCAGTATGTTTAGCTTTCTGTCATTGCCGGTGGTAAAAGAATCCAAAGGATTGAACTAGTGTGTCAAAGAAAAATACCTTTTTGTTCATCAGCAACCATTTGCATACTACTTACATATATACATACATGTGTACATATGTATGGATATAAAAATTACGAGTGCCCTTGCAGAAGCTACATGTATTTTAATTTTTTTGTTTGAAGTCATAAAATATTCATGAACTCATTTCACTTCACTTCAATATTATACATATATATTATGTGTTAAACAACTCTGTTTTGGCATCTTTTTGGCTATTATGTATAACTGAAAACTACTTCCCAAAAATTACTTTCATTAATGCAATAGTTATAACAAATATCACGCCGATTAATCCCATTGACATCACAACCTCATTTGCTCGACAATTACATATTATATATATGTACATATTAACATCTGTAAATATGTATATACATACATATGAATATGTAGAGGATATTTCATGATTTGTGTGCATGTCACCATCAATCAAAACAGGAAAGCATGAGCATGTACATACATACATATTTATAATTTTAGCGATGCAAAAACTTTTCACTTTAGCAAGGTGCTATTTTGTAAAAATTGTATAACAGGTTCTCAGCAATATAAAATACTCGGAATGCACGTGTATGTCCTGAAATTAAAATTAAACTTCACTTCAACTTCATAATTCTCATAGCAACCCTTTCATAATACGTTCTCTGAATGCTCACTACTTTCATTACACCTAAACTTTTAATTAAGAGATTGAGATGCATATACATACTTACATATACATATATTATGTGAACATGCAAGTACATACATATATGAATATGTGGATGAGGAGCCACATTAACGCTATTCATAGAGTGATAACATGGGCGTACCGCATCGATCATTACATTCACGATAATAACAAATACATACAAGTATATTTATTTATCTAAAAATCAAAAATAATCGAAATTGCATTATACAAAATCAAAAAATAGTGGCAAATAAGTATGTACTAATAATATACGCAGAGGGTCACAAAAGGTGCACAATAAGGTGCAGGTTGATTGTCATCGAGGTCATCTAACGATAAGCCCAGGAAGCGTGCTGTTTCGACGGAGCCGGACCATTGGGAGAAGGGTGTTAGATGGGTGGGATTCGTTGGGCATGCAAAGAGGTGGTTAGTGTCATGCGGAGACTTGTTGTATGCTGGACATAGGTATATTGGGTATGTCGGGGTCGATTCTGGATAAATAGGAGGTAACCTGTTACAGTACCAAGAACGAAGTAGCGAAAGTGTTGCTCTAGATTCACGTGGCAACTCGAGCTCTTTCAATGCAATTGGTGGTGTTTTGACTCCAAGTACTCCATTCACTAAGAGAGAGTCGGTCTAGGTGTTAATATCTCCACTGTGAATGGCGGTCAGTGCATGTCTGTCGAAGGATTCGGTGAGTTGCCGGCTAAAATAGCTCGCGCCCTTCTTCGGGATGGCCATCGCATTGGATTTCTACCCTGTCGTCATGCCCCTTCGGATTTGACAACGCCTAGATAGTAGTCCAAAGCTTACTCACACCGGTGGATAGGTAATTCATGATCCACTCCTTATGGGTCTTAAGGCCTGAACAGATCCTAAGATGGCTCCTACCAAAGCGGGGTTTGGAAGGAGCCTCTTGGCGCTCAGGGCCCGTTTTGGACTCAATGCCAGTTCGGGTCAGGAGAATGCGGAGCAACCGTATTGCTAGGAGTTGCTCCAGTGAAGAATCATAAACTAAAACTTACCAATCCAAACGGGATTAGATTGCTGAAATAACAGCCCAGATATGAGGTACTAAAACTACACTATCATGGTACTACATATTATTTCTTATCGTTTCTATTTGCATTAAACCTTTTGAAATCAATATAATGTTGTATAATATAATACATAATAATATACTATGTATATAAATAAATACATATTAAATTTGTCATAGAAAGTACATTGAGATTATGTCCATCCCGATTATAAACCTAAAATCACTTGTCAATAAAACTCATACTTAGATGGCATGAATTTCTTTTGCAGACGACATATTTGTGTACAGCAACGCACCATCACCATGCCAGTAAAGACAACCGAAGTCTATGCAAGACCGATCTGGAAACATGTCAACACGCCTTGCAGCGCCGTTCAAGTGCATACGCAACATCCAAACCAGATGTGTACCAGAGTTCAACTGGTCCATGAACAGACTTTTCGCGATGTCATTCGCCATAAGCCATCGCAACAAGTTACATACGACTGCTGCAGCGGTTGGGAACGTGAATTTCCAAAATCAGATTATTGCTCAAAGCGTAAGCGGTTGACTTGTAACATAAGTATACATATAGATTTCAATGTTCGTAAAGAAAACCAAAAAATTTATTTAGCCGTGTGTGTTTGAACCTCAGTGTTCTAAAATATTAAAAGGCTAAAGGTACGTGATATACTTGTACATATACATAGATGAAATATGATGGTGTTGTTATCTAATCATAACCATCCTTAAGTTCTCACTGCTTGGACGTGCTCGAGTTTAGCCCTCTTTTACTAGAATTGTTCTATTTTGTGCATTGTTTCCAAAATGTAATCTGTAATTTTCTTTAAACAGCTATTTGTAGCACTGAGTGCCAAAATGGTGGCACTTGTACTGAACCTGATACTTGCAGTTGCCCCGCAGGATTTTCTGGAAAATTTTGTGAGCACGATATAAATGAATGTAAAGAAGCGAAGCCATGCGATCAGACCTGTGTCAACACAATTGGCTCGTACTTTTGTGAATGCCGTGAAGGTTTCGTTTTACAATTGGATCAGCAAAGTTGTAAGAAAATTGGTGAGATGTATGTCTAAATGTAGATATATTTATATAACAGATTTCTTCTACAGATTTGCAAGATGATGATGCTTTTGAAGCACGCGATTTAGAAAATGAAATCGAATTAAGCGATAAAGAGGATGTTAGTGATCGTCTTCAGAAAATTGAGCGCTCCTTAGCAAATGAGAGGGTACATTCAAATGAGTTGCAGAAATCACTTCAAGCTACTTACAGTGTTGTTGATACTTTAAAGAGTCGCCTAAGTACTATAGTAAGTAAGCTGCTGTAAGATGTTGTCCTGTTACATATACCTACATATAAAACAAGTAAGGAAGTTCTAAGTTCGGGTGTAACCGACCATTTTATACTCTCGCAAATCGCAAGGATCAAAGCCCGGGAAATTGCTTCAGGTGTTGGCAAAATTTTATATTAAAGGAAGTATTGATCCGATTCAATCCATTTTTGACACAAAAACATACTATTATCGGGAGTTTCATTTATTTAATTTATTATATGAATTTAAATTTTATATCTTACACATTAACCGCTACTTTCGGTAAATAGTCTACTAGAGGCACTGAGGTCCACATATTCAGTACCTAGGGCCTTGAACAGTTTTGGTTTGATTTAGACAATTTTTGGCCACAAGGTGGCATACTTTAAACGCATAAAAATATGAGAAGAATGTTATGTACTGAATTTGGTTGAAATCGGCTAAGCAGATCCCAAGATATGGGTTGTCCACGCCCACTGTTTAATTTTGAACGCGGTTCCTATAAAGTCATCTCATACCATCCCAGAGATAAAATTTAATGTCTCTGGCGTGCTGGAGTTACAGTACCGTTATATCCGGGTCTTGTCACCCGACTTCATGCTGCTTCCCACTGTCGATAGAAGTGCTAAAAATATTCGTTCTAAGTTAATTTTGTTAGTGTAGCTTTAGCGGCTTAGGAGATATGCACATTAAACCTATTAGGGGGCGGGACCACACCCACTTTTTAAAAAATTTCAAACTGCAGATGCCCCTCCCTAATGTGCACCTGTATACCAATAAGTCTTGTATATTATTGTGGAGCTTAGTTATAGCAATTTATTTGTTTTTGATTAACGGCGTTTTGTGGGCGTGGCAGTGGGCCGATTACGCCTATTTGCAATACCAACCTTCTTACGTAAAAATATACATTTAGATAATGGTTATAAAAATGTTTTAATTAATATCTTTTTTTAAATCCAGGAGAAGCAGCAGCAGGATATAAGCCGAATGCAGTCAAATCTGTACCAGACAGAATCTCGAACGAACAGGCTTGAGAGCATGCTAAATCTGTTAATGAAGTGCCGAAATGGACCTAACGCCCATTGTCCCTAGAAATCGAAGAATCAGACTGTATATGTATGTAATTAAGGTAGCCCTAAATTATTCTAATGACATTCTCATTAATAATTTACATAATTTTGTCAATTATCAATTTATGACTTCATATGCATTTGACTTCAATCTATGATTCTTTAGAGATACATACTTACGTACATACATATAATAAGTATGGTATAATATTTGTAAATAAATATTCAAATGAAAAATTGTATGATTGTAATATGTAGATACGTAAATACATATGTAAGTAAATTTGCCATTTAGTAGTAACCAAATTTACAAATACTCGTGTATCCAAAAAACGATAATATTGCATTTACTGACAATAAATATTATAGATAAAAATGAAAAAATGAACTTTGAAAAAAATATACGATGTTCTTTTTGTTTTGTTTAGTATAAATCTTTTGGCAGAATCACCGTGTGTTACAAAACTCCAATCTTACAGGAGAGCGTTTTTTATTTGTATTGGTTCACTGCTTCTAAATTTCATATGTACAACAACAGTCAGCCAACAGAATATACCAGCTGAAATTACGAATACTTTGACACAAGTTGGATAATAGATAAAATTTGAAAAAAACGGTTGATTTTAACTAATAAAAGAAAGATATATATAGAATAACGCATTAGTAGTGAGTGTTAAATTGAATGAATCAGATAGACAATTTAATGTCTACATACTTATCTTTATTCCAATAACTTAACACTTATTGCTATATTCGAGTTTACAACTTATTGCTTATAGCTTAATTGCTTTTTACACGGCAACACTCTAATTAAAACTGTGTCTGCTGCATAATCCGGCAGCCCTTATATAGTAAATTTTTAACAAAAGTTAGCTACTAGAACATTCTGGCAACTACGAATTCGCTGTCTAGTTGCTTCTGGCAGTTTATCGTCGATTTTGATTGTTCTGGTATTCGTGTTCACCACACTGCCCTCTACCTAAGTCTGATCGTCCCGATTAGACATATTTGGTCTGTATGCGATACACTACATCATTGAGTCGTTTAATAACCTGGTATGGTCCTTCCCAATTACACTGTAATTTGGGAGATAACCCTTTCTTTCGTTGTGGGTTATATACAATAACAATACCCAATCGCCCACCCACCTTTTTCTTCTTTTTGATACTTATCCACAACTTTCCTCAAATGTTCTCCCAAAGTTTAATTGAATCGTTTTACCATGCCATCGGACTGCGGATGTAGTACAGTTGTACGGGTTTTCCGGATACCCAGCTTCTGGCATATCTCCTGTATTGGAGCTAATTCAAAATTTCTCCCTTGGTCAGAATGAAATTCTATTGGAACACCATATCTCGATACCCAATTTTTGATGAATACATCTGCTGTTCCTGCCTCTTGGTTAGGAATTGCGTATACCTCTGGCCATTTGCTAAATAGTCCATGACTACCAAAACATATCTGTTTCCTAATTTACTGCTGGAAATGGACCAGCTACATCCATGGCTACTCGCTCAAACGGCGCACCTGAATTGTACTGCTTCATCTGACCGTGACTCCTGGACCGCGGCCCTTTGGCAGCAAAGCACTCGACAGAATTGACGATCCATTCCGTAACTGATTGACGACAACCAACCCAATAAAATCTTTGTTTTAATTTCTCCAAGGTTTAGGTGATACCCATGTGTCCTCCACTTGGACCGTTGTGCAGCTCGTTGAGAACTTCAGGAATTCTTACTTTTGGAACAATCATCAGGGCTCGTGAACTTTGCCCATCTTCGCTTTCCCATACGCGATGCAAGCAGCCAGACACTAACTTCAAACTGTTCCATTGTGCCCAATAAGCCTTTGTGACTGGGCTTTCTGGAGCTATTTCTTCTCTCGTTGGACGTTTATTCATCTCAAATCCATATATTACACTTTTCAAATCTGGATCCTCTTGTTGACATTTTTGTAGCTTCTCCGAATCGCAGTCTGATGTTATAGTCATTAATCGGACATCTATAATGTCTTCTTTGGCCTCAGCTTTTGAGCAATGTCTGCATTCCAGATTACAGGGACGGCGAGACATGGCATCAACATTTCCATGACTACTACCTTTGCGTTTACGTCCAACTGGATTATTGGGCTCGTTACAGTTGCGTGCAATATGGTCACTTTTTTCGCAGTTGAAGTATTTAAACACACCATCATTTTTCTTATACGCTTCCGCAGATTTTTCCAGTGCTTTCTGCATGTTGTCAATTTTTTCAAGTAATTGGTTCACCCAAGTGTGTTCCTCTATTTCCACTTTGTGAGCTTTAAATGTTTGATTGCAAAGCAGAGATGCAGTTTCCTGTGTCAGAGCATACGAAACGGTTTCTGCAAACGTCAATTTTGAACATGCTAATGCAGCGAAGCGTGTAGTGTTATCTCGTATTCCTTTGACGAAAGTCTGAATTTTCGTGTCTTCGATGTATTCCATGGATTTATGTGCATAAGCTAAGTGAGCTAACCTCTCAATCTCTGTAGAAAACTCCTGCAGAGACTCATTGGCTTTCTGGCGGCGATTTCGCAACTCGATTTGAAAGATCTGCTTTCTGTGCACACTACCATACCTCTCGCCATAACTACTCGCCTCGCAGTTTGGAATGGTCTGTAATATCTGCGCTGCAGATTCTTTTGATGCAACGAACAATGCAGCTACTTTATCTTCAGCGTTCCAATTATTTGAAGATGCCGTCTTTTCGAATTGGAGCTTAAAAAAGTGGAACGGAACAGTGCCATCAAAGGATGGAGGTTTTACCTTGGCAGAAGCTGTGGACGTAATTGGCCGATTTAATTGTAGCTCGCGGAGACGATCTTTCAATTCATCCACTTCAGTTTGAATTTTAACACGTTCTTCAAAAATCTGTGTGGAATCTTCAGATCGTTAAACTTGGCCATTTTCGAATAATTATCTCCTTGGGAATTTATTTGACAATCCCACTTCTGACAATAATTGTAACGGATTTCTCGATAAATCGTCTACCTGTAACTCACTCTTGAGTTCGATCACTGGATTGTTAAATTAAAATCCCAATTTAATGGCTATACCAGAGAATGTTAACATTTGCTCCTCTATTTGTTAACATTCTCTGGAGAAAGCAATTTCTTGCAGCGCAGGGTTGCCAATTGATATTTTGTAGTAATTAAAAAATGAACTTGAATATATTTGAAATACTCTTAAAATACCTCAAAATCACAGTCGATTACACTTATTTATAAATAGGCAAACTATTTTTAAAAGATGGATTTTAGTTTTGAGCTTTTACATTGTGAAAAATTATGACTTAAAAACGAAATGTATGAAAAATCGTGTATAAAAATAAAATAATGGCAACATTGGTGAAATGAAAACAAAAGAGAACAACCGATTTCTACGTTGCAACTAAACGAATAACTTTTGACAAATTTGGTTTGATACGGGCGGTAAGTACGGAAGGGAGAAATGTCGGTGACTGTTTGGTCACAAAGTCTCTATCCCGTCTTTAAATATGTATATTCTCCGCTTGTATCCAAGTTACCTGCTTTATCGACCATTATGGCAAACTTTCCTCGCTTTACCAGAGAACGTATATCATGCATGTACGTATATCGTATGATATACGTTCTCTGATGTTTCTTTCTGCTAATTGGTATCAACCCTGCATAGCGAATAATGAAATGAAAACAAAATTGCGATACAAAGGAAAATAATTTTGACTAATCTGAAAAGTATCTTCGCGAATCCCATATTATGTTATAGTTTTTCTCAGAGTTCGGATAGTTATATACAATTATATACAATGTCTTCGAACGACAAAATACCTTTAAAACAGGCCGAAGTTTCAGTTCGACGATTTAATGACCTCGCTATCCCACATCATTTGAGTCTCCTTAAAAATCATCGCAGCAATATCGAAAAAAGCCTAGCTTTAGGTGATTGGAATAAAATTAAGAAAGAGGAAATTAATGCAACACGTGTAATTAAGCAAATTAAGAATCTGTTACTTGAGATGGATACTCTACGAGAAAGGGTCCGTTCTGAAGATTTAGCACGTTTCGATATAATGATGGAAGATGGTAAAATTAAAGCTTTTCAAGGAATGAGTGAATATTTAGGTAAGCTTAATATATGTAGGTAAAATAATATACTATTCTCAATCATGACACCCAAATTTCATTTAAGAGCTAAAATTGAAAGCACCATCATATAATAAATACTCGCACTCATTGGAAAATTGTGAAGAGAATGAAACTCCTCCTCCCGTAGAAATAGGACTAACCATGGCACATCGCAAAGTAGTTCCTCCGATTGAAACAAAGTATGAACAGCAAGAATATCAATTGCAACAGAGACAAGCTTGCTTGGATGAACTAGAACAGTTGCAAAACGAGATTCGGGATCTTACTGGAATGTATCATAATATGCATCATTTGGTTCAAGAACAAGGAAATAATGTACGAATCATTGCTGATAATGCCGAAGAAGCCCTTGAGAACGTGCAAATTGGTGAGAATAATTTGCGCAAAGCCCTTACATACAAAAAAGCAATGTATCCAGTAGTTGGTGCATTGATAGGCACTTGCGTGGGTGGCCCTATTGGATTGGTAGCCGGTTTGAAAGCAGGTGGTCTGGCCGCTGTGGGCTGTGGAATACTTGGATTCACAGGTGGTTCTGTTTTGAAAAGCAACACATCAATAAATCCCACTGTTATGCAAGGTAATATTGAGGAAGAAGGTTCACAAGAGCCCATAGAAATGGAAAAAACGGACAAATGACCCTCAGGGTCGGAAGAAAAATCTAGGAAATGCACAAAAAGGGGTTGCACCCAATTGGTATTACCCGTAGACAGCAATGGACAATTAGATTCTGTAGCACAAGCTACGACGAATGTGATATGTAGAGTGCGTAGTTACTGTTCTATACAATGAAGACTTATTTATTTATATACATGCGATTAGTTTTTTTTCTTTTATATTAAAAAAGTAATAGTTTATTTACTATGGAAAAAATTATGCCTCTATGTTAAAGTCACAAGAGTTCAAGCTTTCACAGGGGATTTAATATGTAATTTATTTCTAAAAACTTCGTTTTATTATATTAAAAAATGTTCTATATATCCAAAAATACATACTTTCTGTGAAATTAAAAATACATATATATATATATTATACCATACTCTATGAACTAGAAAAAAACAATTAATTTACAAGGGAACATTCGCAGTTGTCCAAGTCTGCTTAAAACGTTTTTTCATAGCGTGGGCCTTCTTTCGTATACGTTTGGCTGTTTTCTTTGGTTTATACCATGGCGGATATGAACCGTGCTGATCTTTCATAGTTTTACTATTATAAACATGGACTTTTCCAGTATTCTCGTTAACTTCTGTAAAATTTTTACCTGGCTCTCGTCGCTCCTCCATCTCGTGTTCCAATTCCTGTTCTTCACGAGATTTCTTCTCCTGAAAAATATTAACAATTATTACTGAAATATGTTTCTTGAGGTTCCTATTACGTGTTTTAGTTCTTTTGCTGTTTTTACTGTGGCTACTTCCGACATATCTTTCATAACTTCATTTCCTTCAGCGTCTATAAGACCCAATGTTTTCTTTAAACGAATTAGTTCCTTTGCTTCGTAACGCGCTTTCTTGATTTTATTCATTTCATCGCGACGCTTGCGCGAACGGTTTGTACGACCCATATTTTTTTAATCTTTGGCAATCACAAATTGTTTAATTTTTCGAAACGAATTTATTTATTATTGTAAGCCAAATATCCCAATATAAACACGTGTAATCGTATATATTTTTGACGTTTTCTGTACTCCATCAGTTAAAACATTGAATAAAAGGGAACGTCAATCCTATCAGAGATGCCAAACTTTCATTACAAGTACACTTTACTATTATAAGTCTGCGTTTGGGACAAACATTATTGTTATAAAATTTATACATTTGTTAATGAAAATAATGAACAATTTTTTTTTAAATGTATGGATACAAAATTTATAAACAAATATTGATAACAAAACATAATGGTTTAATTTGTATAATCCGATCAGATTCCAGTTACCTCCGCTACCAAAAGTGTTACAGTCCATTTGTGGATCGATGCCCCTTCGATTGACGTTTGCTGTGGAATGTTGTCCACAAATAAATATATTGAAAGTAAGTAAAAAAAAAATAAATAAAGTAAATCCTTCAGCCCAGAAGTTATATGCAGAATATTTTTCAGGCAACAATATTTTGAGCGGTGTTAATGAATTAACTCAGATATAGTCTTTCAAAGACAATAAAATGGTACTGCGCTCGGGTATAATAATTCCTTTTCAATTTCGTGACAGTAAGAAACTTCTAATGATCGGAGTGCCTGAAGAGAACCGTAATTTGAACATTTGGGACTTGAGAAATGTTGGTATGAAATTATTTGTTGATCATGTAAAAGTGGGTACATTATAGAGAAAAATCATCGTATTCAGATATATATAAATAAAATTACTTCTAAAAAAATATTAATATACATATACAAATATCTTTTTAGTTAGAGCTGCATTTGGAATTTATAACTTTGAGTTTCGAAATAAAAAGATTGGATTCAACATACCGGATGAGCTGCTTTTGCATTATTTGGCGCAACGCTATGATCTTACCAATTTCGTTATAGAAATTGGACAAGGTGAGTAATAGCATCAGTTAATCCTAAAATGATTGCAATCCATTATGGTATGAGTATTATCTCTATTGTACAAGCTTGTGAAAAGGCTTAACATATACTAAAATAAGATATCGACATGTAAAATTTGAGGAGCTAAAGGTTTACGAACCAGTAGGTCATAACGATTTATTGTCTCATATTTTACCAGTTTCCATGTAGGCTTGGTTTAGTTTGAAGTAATAGTATATATTACATAATTGTAGTTCGTCTAATTTCTTTGAGGTAGCACTATAAAGTATTCCCAAAATATTAATCCTTGCATACACTGGTTACGTAGAGACGACTGTCGTAAGAATGGTTTTAGAATCCAATAATAATTACGTTAAGTAAGAAATAAATATACATATGTATGTATGTAAGTACGAAAACGTACATATATACATACATACGATAAATTATAATTTATTTAGATATGTTCGGTTTCAACTAAATAATCATAAAAACTCAAAGCTCACCGTACTGCACTTGCCTCTAGTAAGTTCGTAAACATGTTTACATTAAATCTAGTATCGTTAATATGCTCTTTTTCCAGCTAATCTAAATGATGTACAAGATAATGGCATCGCTGACTCGTCTTCTGCAGAGAACTTTGTTCCTACAGACTTTTCCTTACAATTAAATGAAAATATACACCTTGGAGAAGCTCGGGGAATACAGTATGGGGACCCCTTTGATGGTAAACATACTAAATATACAGAAGTTGTACCTAATTCCGATGGGCGAAAAGTGTTTGGAAGTGCTTCCGAAACCCTTAATAAGGAGACTGCTTACCAAGGTTATTCGCACCCATCTGAAAGATCTAAATTGTCGGTTATTACTGACGAGCAAACAATTACAAAATGTGAGCCGAGTGATTGTGAAATCGAAAAAACACGAACACTAAAAAAGCAATTGTTTGAAATCGACCATGTACAAGATCCGCAAAATCAAGAATTCCAATTGTGTGACACAGGGCATCCTTTTGAAAATAGAGCCAACGCTGACATTCCCTTTAAGAAAATTAGTTACCAGCAACATCAGTTTGCTTCATGTTCAATGAACCGCTTTAGAAGTAGGTTATTTAGTTTGTGTTGTAATAAGGAATTAATTCGATTGTAATTCTTTAAACAGGGAGGGGAGAGAGAATGTCTAAAGACCAAAAGGAAATGTATGTTAAATATTTCGAAGAAAACCCATGCATGCAGTCTCAACGACGCAACGACTCTCTGCTAGAATCGCATTGGAATAAATTGGGTACGATCTTAAACAATATACCACAAGGAGCGGTAAAAAACGTGGAGGAATGGAAACAAACATTTGATGCTTGGCGGTACAGGGTGTTTATGTACTATCGCTACAATTACAAACTCTCTGGCTCCGTTACGCACAATGTAAAAACTTTCAAACCACTAACATCCACCGATCAGCGAGCGTATTCAATGTGGACTAGTTATAAAACAACCTCCCTGCAACAATCAGATTAGCTGGGCACATTTAGCAAATCGGAAACTGAACAGCCAAATTGCACTTATTGAATACCAAAGTAACCTTAAAATATACCTATAATGTACAATGTCATAATTTACAAAAATAAAAATTCCAATAAATATAAAAACTCGACTAAACATGTTTACATTTGTGTGATGCTACATGTACATATGTAGATACTGTAAACTATGTTTTAAATGTTGTATGTACATTTTATTCTTCTATATACAATGCAGTTTATGATCCTTGCAAAGAAAACTTCACTTCAATCGGGAGTTGTTCAACATGTCGTTGTTCAGCAGCACAAAAGTCGTCTTTGGAATTACATGATAACGCAGACACTCCCATTTACCATACAACAGTTAGTGGTCGTTCTAATGCCAGCGGAACAAGTTCACAAAATTCGCAGAATGCTGATGAAATCCCCACAATGAAAGTTCGTATGCAGCATTCGAATATACCTGCTAGTGACATAAGTCATATGGAAATAGAGCCGAAAATTGACTATGACTCGACAATTAATACGACTGGTTCCAACACTGAGGTAGACGGCTCTTCCCCTCCGCCGTTACCGGTCCACGCAAAATCGAGTGTCTATATTGATGAAGAACATCATCAACAGCAGCAACAAGAATTACACTTGGAGCGTTTACAACACGAATATGCATTGCAACACCACCAGCAACAACAACATTTCGAGACTTTGATGCAAGAGAATACAACTGGAAATAGCTTTAGGCGTAAGTGTTTTTTAATTATAAAAATAGATAATAAATAATTTGGTTGTGTAATATATAATATGATGCTTTTAGAACGAAAAGAACGTATGTCGAAAAAACAAAAAGAAATATACGTTAACTTTATGGAGCAAAATCCCGTCATTAACGAACACCGTCGAAGTGATCCTATTTTGGATCAATATTGGGTAAAATTAGCAGATATTCTTAATTCAGTGCCACAAGGGGCAGTAAAACATGTAGCAGAATGGAAACAGGTACAATGATATTTATTAATATATGGTCTTATGTCATTTTGTGATTAGTGTAATTTTTTGTATCCGATAGACTTTCGATAATTGGCGTTATCGTGTGTTTTTGTACGCTCGATACAATTCGAAAATCACAGGTACCGATGCCTTAAATCCAAAAAGCTTCAAGCCCTTCACACAAACGGATAAGCGCGCTTATCACTTTTGGATAAGAAACCCTGATACGGCTCCACCTGATTTGGAAAAAATGCGAAATGTGTTCGTGAATCTAGAGGACACTCAACAAGAATAGTTAGGTAGCACTAAAAATAAACTATAGAATCGGTAGCACATGTTAATTGATAATCCTATTTTTCAATAAAACTCATAATTTTTGTCATAGGAATATTATGACATATATGTATGTATGTATATATGAAGTTCATTATGTAATAGCTTAACGACAATATCAATACATATACAAATGAAAGCGTGTTGAGTATTAAATTTTTTCTTAACAAAAAATTATTTTAGCCACGAAGACGACGGATGCCATGGGTCGAAAATTAAAAACTGGGAAATTTCATATAGCTTAAACTTAATTATTGTAATATTAAGCTTATTTGATTTAGATTAAATGGCGATTAGAACTTTTCTCGAAACATACATATGTCCTTTCGAAGACAACTTAAAACTCCAGGACCATCTATCCACAGTTTTTCGGACAGCATCAAGACTCAAATCATAAACTGGAAACCAAATACATATGTACATACATAGAAAATAAGAAACCGCGCACCAACTCTTGCACCCTTTCTTTGCTACGATCAATTGTTTCACGTTTGCAATTCGTTAATTTCTGAATGTATCGACATATGTGAATTAGTATATATTGCGTTTTAGTTTAAAACAATTCAAATTCCGTACTGGAATTGGACAAACACTTCATTTAAGCCCTATACTGCCATATCTGTCAGGTAATATTATATCTGTAATGACATGGGTTATGAAATTATCTTAAAAAAAAATAACATCAAATTGACTGAGTTCACGAGCAAGCTGCGCCTATATATCTCTTTTTTAATGAGGGGATGCTAACAGATTTTCTTTATCCCAAGTAAAGTGCATAGTAGCACACAATAACACAATTAACCTTCGCTGCGTATCACAATACTTTCTTCAGTCAGTGTGTTTAGGTATAAACGTAATATGAGTTATTAGGAAACACACTTTTTAATTTAAAACGGCGAATCAATGAAATACTTGTTATATTTATGTTAGAGTTTTCGTTGCTTTATTCATTATAGTATTCACATTCTCACCTAGTTACAGTAACGAGTTTATGTAATAATCTTTTACACGGCAACACAACTTTATAACATCTCAATAATAGTAATAGTAACTTTTATAACTAATCAGGTTGATTTACTTATTCCTTCTTTTTTATGGTTTACCATGTATATATATGCGTTTGTTTACTTTTTATTTTATTTACAATCTTAAATGACATTTTATTGTTCAATATAAAATCTTAAATACCTTTACGTACCTTCCATATTTTAATGGCAATTTCTGGATTTCATTCGCGTATATTTTCTACATTTTAACATCTAAAAGTAATCAAAATAAACTATAATTTAATAAAAAAATTGTGCACCTGAACTCCCACGAACAATTTTTGTTAATTTAGCTTAGTTCGTACCTACGGTTATCATGAGGCACAGCCATTTAACCTCTCATTATTATTAACTTATTTTCTAGGATTTCACAAGTTGTTCAATGAACTCAAGCCGTAGTTATTATAAAGTGCCACGAATGAATGAATTGATGATTGCAACTACCATTGCCAATTCATCTGCATGCCCGTTAGTTCAACTCATATATAATTATTGTCTTTTAGACACATAATCTGTGCTTAAAAATATCGTAAAAAAATACGGTAAAATCTGGTTCCCTCAATAAAATCAACTTAATTAAACATATGACAATAACATTAACACTTAGCACTAAACTAACGGCAATAATAAATATGCCATTGTACTTTTACGCTACAACCGGAGCTAGCAGTTTCTTGCTGTTTTTATGAAAACTGTTTAGAAATTTACACTAAAACACATTAAAATTGGTATTTTCTTTTGAAATTATTTACACTGATAAGTAACCAACCTCTTGCTGTTAAAAAATATAGCGTTTAAGAAAGCACAAGTACCTCATTATGGCTTTGTTCTAGCACGCTCATTGACAAGCTGCTTTATGTTCTCTCTGTTCACTTCAAAATGGAATATAAAATCCTCAAGGCTACGCATTCAAAGCTAAAACTAATTTTTACAATAATTGCATACAAAAGCATTTACATACATAACAGATACAGCTATGGTTATGTGTAAATCAAATTGGAACATATGTGTTCGTACTTCATTTCAAAATTCCTCTGTCACCAGCTCAGAAACTTATTCTAGATTTTGAAAATTATGCATGGCCGATTTTGACTTTAAAAGTAATGATGATAACAGAATTATAAAACCAATAGTTGGTGTTTGGTGATGGGGTAGAGTCATATAGCCATAGTCAGTGGTGACAGCGGCAGTACCTTTAGTTTATGTAAGTAATACAACTTGGTTTTAAAATACATGAACTCATTAGACATGTCAAGCTACTCAATTTAATTAAAAATATGTACAACATAATTTGTAGTTTTCTCAGTTTTTGTGCGAGTTAAGCCGTATAGTAAATGTACGTAAATCTTCATTGCAGTTTGATTAAATCTTAGCCTATGTAAATTAAAATAAAAAATTTAAACTATCAACTTATACACTTTCAATTTTTAGTATAGATGTATATGCATCTATTTTGTTCTCGTGGTTGACGATTTGAAGCTTAGGATAATGGAGGAGCTTCTTTAACTAAGCACGATTGAGAATTGTTACCTAAGCTAGATCCGTCCAAGCTGTCCAAATCAAGTGCCGTATTTATCATGGTCGTATTATTTAGCATACGTAAACGGTTTAGACCACTCATAGAGCCATCACACACTTTACCATTGCCAGATAAAAAACTGGAGTCAACGTTTTCTTGTGCAACAAATGATGCACTAACTGGGTCGTCCAAGTCTAAATCGTCATTTAATAACGCCGACGACAACATTACACCGGCTGATGTAATACTTTTTTGCGTCAATTGCTTATGTTCTCTATTCATTTGTAGCGTTAATTCGTGTTGCTTTTGTTCATCCATTAAATTTGAGTACACATGTAAACTGGCGTTACTATCTACATGTTTAGCACACGGAGCACCACTTTGTAAGACGTTGCTATACAGATTTTCTAATTGGGATATTGGTTTTAACAAGTTGGATTTCTGTTTTTCATTTGCTGAATCAGTTTGTTCTGGCAATTCTCTAGAATCTTTCATGTCAATACTTACAGACAGCTTAATTGCATTATTTTCTGGCGGAAGATCGGATGATTCTTTATCTAAACTTTCAATAGCCGAAACACTCGATGGTAATATTGGGTTTGTACATGTATTGATTTTTATATTAGCGGGACCACTTTCCGTATAAAATAAGTTATTGTAGCTGTCCGAACGATTCTGGCGTTCACGAGCTTGACTTGTAGCAGCAATTGCTGCCACAGCAGCTACAACCTCCGTTTTACCGACAATTTCGATTACATCGTCAGGACTGCAGTCGTTACTGTCAAAATTATTTATAATATTATTGCTATCTGAGGAACTCGTTTGTACACGATCTTTATGGTGACGAAATTGCCGTTGCATTTGTGCAGTTTGTGTTTGTGGTACGTCCATCTGTGAAAGGGGAATTTCGTTGTCTACCAAATACGCAAGGCTATTGGAATTTCCTGAAATATATTTTGTAAGCAAAAGGCATAATAATTTGTTAGTATTTTAAAATTGTTCGTTAGGAAAATGGATTTTTAAAACAATATAAAACAAATCGTATATTTAATTAATTAGTTCAAGTGTTTTCGTTTATATAACAATGCAAAATTAAATGTAAAAGCTAAATAATAATAACCACAAGAAAAAGCATTTCTTGAAGCTTAAAGCCAGTCAAATCTTATTACTTGAACATATATGTTTACCAAAGATATTTACCATAATACAAATATACAATACATATTGGTCACGTGTATGTCCAAACAATAAATACTAACATATAAATAAAACAATATCTTCTTTTGGAATACCATTTACGTCAATTGTACGGTGAGAAAAGGGAAAGCAAGATGTGTTATTTTCAATTTTATTGTAGATAAAAAAATAATATTTAATTATTTATACCCATTTTTATTCTTTCAACAGTAAACAAATTTTAATATTACATTATTTCAATCCAAATGAAAATTATATCATGCAATAAAATATTTTATTGCCGGTCTTTTTTGACCTATACCGAGGAGCCTTTTATATAGGAAAAAGTGTAAAATTAATCATATATTTCATATATATGTGTACCAGACATACACTGAAGTAAAAAGTATTCCAAATTTCTAACTTTTTTATCTAGTAAATTTTTATATTATTGGACTCTATGAGATATGACTGGCCTTGAACTAAACATGATTGCGAAATTTGAGGGAAAATAGTGGACCACGTCAATGAAAATATGTCAACAGTCGTCAATAAGTCATTGTCACAATTTGCATTAAATCATTTGTGTATGTAAATATGTATGCTATGTACTATTACATTCTAAGGATGTTGCTATGTGTGTTTAACTATGCATTTCATTAAAAATTGTAGTGTTTAGACTTTTTACACCTTTCATAAAGCATGCACTTGTTTGAATTTAAAATGAGTATATCGCAAAACGGAAAGCGGAAATACCGTATTCGATTTAGACACTTTGTACTCTCTCACCGTCATCAAGTAATGGTTGAATCAATTCAGGAGCTTCAGTAAAATTGAGTTTTCGTTGTAGGGTATTTCATTTTTATTTTATTCGAACGAACACAAAAACAAATATACGTATGTACAAGGGAAGAAAAGAAGAGAAGATATGAAATACATATTTCAATTTTATGTACCTTTCGGTTAAACAAAACAAAAAAACATTTCACATATTTGTTGTATACAGACATATGATAAACAACCGCCAATATTCGAACAAATTTATGGTTATGAAGTGAGGGGAATGGGATGCGAGATACATACATATACATACATACATAATCACTTAGAGAAAGTACATAAATGTATTACCGAACATGGCTAGTTTTCCCACTTCGTATTGTGTGATTTATTTAATAGAAATATTTTGGTTAATAACAAAATCACTTCGAGAATTCCGAAGTGGTTGCACCCTTCACACAATGAAAACTAAATTAAATACATATTTCTGAAAAAATTATCGTCATACAAATTGATCAATATGTAGCGTTGAAGTAAATTCTTCATAAACAGTTAATTCATTAATATCTGTATTTCTACAAAATATGCATTTAAATTTGGTAACGGTAACTGAAAGGACGGAATGAGTACTGTTCAATGACAATTAGATTATTAAAATTATATTTATTTCCAATAAAACTTATATAATATTCTCACCTTAAAATTATATAAATAAATAATCCATGCCTTATGATATATTAAAGTGATCAATTCCCCGAGGCTCCGATGGAGCCAAAATAATTTTCTTGCTTATACTAGAGATTTTGTTGATTCGGTACAATTATTTGCAGAGGTTTAAGCAATTTAACAATAAAAATACGCATACCGATATATGTATGTATGCACGAATGCGTCTTGTGTGAAGGGCTGAAAAAAAAACTAAGCAAAACACTGCAATCGACAATTGCAGTGATCAATGCTTAAAATAACGTGCAAAAAAATCTGAGTTAATTGCAAAAGAGAGTACACAATTCATCAAAATTCTAACGCAAGTTGGCAAACTATGGTATAAAGCTAATGCTAATTTGCTAAACTTTAAATAGAAAATCAAAATCTCAATAAAACTTTATATGCAATCATGTTTATTTACTACCATAAACAGTAAGAGAATAACAATATATGTAATTATTCGCAACTAACTGGTGTATATGGATTATTATTTCTTATTTATATTTCATCATTTCAAATTTTGTTTACTATATTACAGTTGAAAATATTAAACAACTCACCCAATCTAGTATTTTTCTTAGTTTTTATTGTTTTAAAGCGACGCGGCTTGTTTTGATTTGTCTCAAGATTTGTTTTGAGTAAATCAGTTAAGAGTTTTTTTTTTTTCAAAATGGTTTGCATATTAATACAAAATGACGACACGAAAGTACGAAATGTAAAAATAAAGAGAAAGAGAGAGATAATAAATAGTTTAAACGAATATAAAAATTGTAAACGGACAACAACAACTAAATATAATTAATGAAATAATTGTTAATAATATTGAAATGAGCAGAAACAAATGTGAGTGTGAACGTGTTAAACAATTCCTCTCCACAGTTACTGTTTAACAGGGTTCTATCTAAGCTGGTTCGCATAAAGAACGATCATACACAAATTTAAACTGAAATGTTCAATAAGTCCCTTAAATCTTAACGCAATTGATTCAATACGGAATCAAAATGCACCGGAGAACTAACGTCAATATTTATCTTGTCCCAGTAATAAACTAATGCACATTCCCTTTTTTTCAACTGATTTTAGCCACAAAATATGCAATTTTAAAAACAAAATTTTGCGCAAACAACTTCTAGTTTATGTGATGAAGCTATTTTATTCATAGAAAAGGCCGTAATTTCTACATAGAGGATCGTAAGTTGAAATCCTGGTCGGAACAATATAAAAAAAAATTATGCTTATTTGGGTATAAAATCCTTTCAAATAGTGGCCGTACCTCCGAGTGGAGATAGCATATCCTATACAGCACAAACAAGAGAAGAAACCTAGCCAATAATCTGACCAATTTATAAATAGTACATATAAAATATCGATTATAAAATCTGAGGGCTGATGGTAACTAAGTAATAAAAAAATTTGTGTTAAATCAGTAGACACTGGTCTAAGAAAATGGCAACGAAAACACCTTTCCAAAAATTTCTAAACACTTTTGTATATCCACAAGTATTCAATAAATGAGTACTCTGTTATGTTAACTTAATTATATTTAAATAAATTAATATTATACATTTTGTGAATATTATAGCTGATTAACCACTTTTCTAAATATATACGTAAAAGCCTCTTAATTTGCTTTTATTCAATAACGTGTAAATGTATTACTATATTTAATCGGTTAATTGTTTAAAATCTTGTATGTTTAACTTTATTTCTATATATATTTTGAAGTCACTTGGGTTAGTAGATTTAGCAAAAATGGCAGTACTTTTATTCATTTCGGGATTATTCGGTATAATATTTGTTCATAATATTCAAAGGGAATGTGATGTATGATAATTCGAATATTTTGACAGAAGTCGCAGCAGTATAAAAAAAAATCGCGAAAATTTTTTGAGGAAAACAAAAAGAACATTTTATCAGTATGATAACTTTACAACATGATACGCTAAAGGCTCAAAATCGTAAAGGCGGAACTCAAACAAAATTGTCAATATAGATACACCCCACAAAACTTTAAAGCTATATCCTTAACAAATTTCAGAAATTTTTGTATTGTAATTAGTGTTTTTTTTTTTTAATTTTACAATTAAAAATTACTAAGCAATTTAAAAAGAAGACAGAATGTAGTCAAACATATTTAAAAATAATAATATAACAAGCGTATTTAAGACTAACATGTTAATTATCTTCTCAGTTAATGAGAAATTTGTTTCTACCATCTTCTTAATTCCAAATACGTCTGCATATGTATGTGTTATTATATTTGTCGCCTATAACGGACATGTATTAGTCATATTAAATTTCATTGTATGCAAGACAGGAATTATGTACTTTTACAACCTCATTATTAAAATGTTTGAATTGAAGAACTTGAAGTATGAATTACCTATGCTTTGTATTTTCGTTGCTTTAAAAACTTTATTCTCATATAACAATAAATATGTGTTACTTTTTAATACTGACATCTGTGTTAGCGCATATTTTAAAGCGACATCAACAGTGCATATAACAGAAGCTAAAGTAAATCAAGTCTATTTCATACTATGATGAGTCGCTTCCAGCAGCATCCTCTATTATGGAATTTAAATCTATATTGAACGAATATTCATATAAATTAGAATAACGGTCGCGCTCCTTCCACGGGGATCGATGATTCATATATAAGTTTCGTTTACTAACACGAAATATTTGACTATCCTTTATAGATTGGTCATCGTCACAGGGTTCACCTCCGCCGCCAAAGTCGCACTCACGAATAGTTAAACGGTTTGTTGGTGATTTTAGTTCAAAAAGAACTTCTTGATGTTTATAGCGTGGCCTCATCGGAAGCGGTTGATAACCACTTATGTTAACTTTTTGCGAATCAACCGATTGGGTTGACTGACGTCGCATACCACGAATTTTATGAAATGGATAATTGCGCATTAAATTAGAATCGGTACTTCGTTGAGGCGAATAATACTTAAAATCACTTGGAGCGGGAGGCTGTGGTGCAGCAGTATGTATTGTCGTCAGAGTTGTAGAACTGGCCGAATGGGCCGCCGTCGCTTGGAGTTGTAATGTAGATGGACGTTTTGCCGCACTGCGCGTGCCAGCAAGTATAGGTGTTGCCAACGTTGATATGGGAGAACTGATGATACTATTTGTTCCCACTGTTACCGCTAAAGAATGCGCTTGCGATGCTACAGGGTACATAGAATGCATATTTTGGGAATGGTGATGCAAAAGTGGAAGCGGAGAGCTTCCTGCATCGAAAGAAGGCGAAATTGGCAAATGAAGCGATCGCTTCAAATTTAAATGGTACGATGATATGGTTGGTGAATGAATGATTTGTGGAGTCGCAAGTGCGCTATGGGTTTCGTGGAGAATTTGTCGCTCTGGTTTTGCCTTTAGTAGTCGATTTTTAAATTGATGAGTAGCAGGGGGTAGAAGTGTTTGCAAAGAACACTTTTTATATTGTAGCTGCTGTGACTTACCGTTTTGTAGATTATCATAACTCCGTGGTCGATATATTCCATTACTAGCCCCTAATGTTGCCGAAGAGGGATTAGACTACAATCATGTTGTTTAAGAAAAGAAGGTGTAACGATCAATGTATTTTGGTGCAAATGTCCAATCCAGTTGCGTGAAATTGCATGTTGTGATACATTAGTTGCATGTGCAAAATAGAAATTATATAATATTTATTACAATAATGATATTAACCAGGCATGTACAAAAATTAATAATAATAGAATGTGATTTAATAGCTCACCTCTTCATAAAGGCGGTTTTTAATATCATTGGCCCCAACGTTAATACCGCCACTTACTCCTGCAATTACTGGTTGGGCCGTAACCATTCCACTTGAGCCTACGTGAGAGGCACTCATCACGTCGCTTAAAGGATGGCGTGGACTAGAATGTTGTTGCATTTGTAGAATATAATCATCCGTTGCAATTCCCCGACTGTAAAACAATCAAAAAGGGAACACAGAATCATAAAATGTTTCATTTAAAGAAAAACCTTTAACGAACCGGTCTATTAATGATGGAGTCATTGGTCCGCAAAGTATATGACAACAATTTAGACAGATGTTTCCTCGCGAATATGGATTTATAGAACGCTGACCCCCTTTAGAAGAAAACGATCCTTTCAACTACATCCAAAAAGAAATAGGACATTAATATCTGAATGTTTTTCATGAAATTATACTGACGTCTTCATTCGTAGTTTGATCACTGGTTGTCAGATAGGTATGAAATCCTGCCAAACCAATAACTGACCAAATCGAAAAGAAGCAAATGAAAACAACAATCACAGTAAATGGCGCCTTTTTTATAACCTCAAATATTTCCTGTTCTGCTTTCATCACTGCATGAAACAAAAGTAAACGTCGGTCAATAGCTAGGTTATGTATTTTTACATTTATAATATACTTACATAAAACTAAATGAGTCACAGAGCATGAAAATATAAATACCGCTAAAAATGCTAACGAGACTAGAAATAAATAAAAGAAACGATAATTTCGTTTCCCCACGCAATTACCAACCTAAAAAAATATATTTAAGATTAATTACTAACATATTAACGAGTACATTATGATCACACTCCTCTGCTCTCTCTCTTAATGCAAATTAAATAGTATATCATGATTGCAGTTCCACCTTTTTTTTGTACAATTCAATTTACGTTTCGAAAATTATGTACATTCGTTAATTTAACTTTATGTATAATGTTAAAAAAGCAATAGAGCAGAAGAGGAGTGATATCGTAAGCAAAATTATCAAAGCTTACCCAGGGACAGTGATGATCGAACCGATCAACACAATTATCGCATAAACTGCAATGCGATGCACGTGGGGGTCGAAATATTTTACAAGTAAAGCAATACTTCAATTTCACTGTTTGTCCTTTAACAAGGACCTCTTTTGTGCGTGGCGGAGGCCGATATGTCGGGCTATTCAGAGAATTTGGCACTTCTGTAGTTATATAAATAAAAAATAAAGAAATAAGAAAATTGAATTTGTGAAATTCTTTCAAATCTTCTACCAATCTGCTTTTCTATATAGGCAGCCTCGTCGTAAGAAGCACGGGGTATAACACCAGGATCTGTAAAGGTTGTTCGTAGCAAGGAACTCATTGTAAAGAAGTAAAGCACTGCACCAACAATAGGAATGATAGGATTTATACGTGTAGCCAAAAACGGACAACTGAAATTTAATAAAAATGGAGATTACAAAACCATTTTTCAAATATTTATGGCAATAGGTATTTTTTAGCCTTGATTGCACTTGTCATTATAATTATATTTTTCTACGTGTGTATTTTGAAAATTATATAATTCGAAAACATTTTGTGGCATTGAGTTATGAACAAAGGAGAAGCATTATACTTTTTAATAGGTAATTGAATAAAATTTAAAATAAATGGCAGTCCATTTCCGGGCCTGAAATTTGCTTTCTTTAGTTATATTATTTACTTTTTAGAAGCTAAATAGAGGCTCAAGCTTAAAGTTTTTTATAGTCGGTACGTTTACCTTCCTCTAGTCAGCAAAAATCGTATTCGTACACCAATTTTTTTTTTTCGTCTTACCCAAATTTATGAAATGAAAACCGAATTCCTACACAAGTTGATACTTAACTTATTAATTTTTATATAAATATATTTATATTTCACGAAGAAGTAAAATTATGTTTTGGTATACATATGACTTTAAAATTTGTTACAATATAGCAATAAATTTGTTTTTAATTCAATTAGTATTTGGTTGGGTATCCTCTTAGTTTATTTACAGCTTTTAGTCGCCGGTGCATAGATTCCACCAACTTCTTCGTAACTTTTTGAGGTGTCTTTCGCCATTTCTTTTGTTGCGCTTTTCACTGATTTACGTTCCATACGTTTAATAACTCGCCATATTCGACTCATATAAGGCTTTGGAAAGGAGTTTTTAGCTAGGATGGACAATTGTACAGAATCCAAAGGTGAGTATTTAGGGCAATATGATTAGCGTCTTTATCTTGTTGAAATAGATAACGACCTCAAAATCCAATTTTATCTGTACTAGAATCAAATTTGCTTTCAAAATATCAATATATAATATGTATATACTTATATATATTTTTCATTTCGCTGATCGGAACAAACTTCCCCACTCCAACAGCAGCCAAACAGGATGGAGCATCCCCCATGTTTAAAAATGGGTAAAAGATTTGAGTGATGACGTTTTTTATAACGCTTTTATTAGCTTCACCTGTGAGTTTGTATATTTGTATATATGTACCAGGTATACCGGTATAAAATTTTTTGTGAAAATGAAATACTGATTTTGAATAAGAAAGTAAAAAAAATTATTCAAAGTATTGACCATTGCATTTTTCACATTTTGACCACCGTTCTGGCAATTTGTGGATACCATGCCAATAGAAATGTTCTTCTTTTGAAGCAAACCAATCAGAAACCCAATTTTCGACTTCAGCGTAGGAATCGAAGTGCTGCTCGGTCCATGTGTGTCCCATCGAGGCGGGTGGGAATCAGCTCCCAGCCAAGTACTTTGATTGTATCCTGAACCGATTTTGCTTTGTGTGCACGTGCATTTTCGTGTAACAAAATTACTTTGCCGTGTCTTCTTATCCCTTCCTGGCCGTTTTTCGATCAATGCATGGTTCAAATTGATCACTTGTTGTCTGTAGTGATTAGTATTAACAGTTTCACCAAGTCATGGTATACCACACCCTTCTGATTCCACCAATCACAGAGCATTGCCTTCTTAGCGAATCGATCTGTTTTTGCAGTCATTGTTGATGATTGTTCCCGCGACAGGTCTTTGGTCTTTCATTCAATTCAAGTTACACCCATTTTCCACACTTTTGGATCTTTCCCAAAGCTTTCAAACGGTCTGAAATTGTTTGTTGAGCAACATTTAACATGGCTTCTATTTGCTTTTGACTCAAAATATCATATTCATCCAATATTGCTTGCAGTTCGGTCTTCCACGTTCTTCATTTCTCACATCAAAATTATAATCTCTGAACCGTTGAAACCATCTTTTGCATGTTGCTTCTGATAGAGTATGATCACCATATGCCTCGACAAGCATTTAATTAAAAAATTAATGCTTTCCGCAAATGATTACATTCCGGTACATTTGACATTTTCAACGCAATGAAAAAATATGATGTTGTTTGTTCAATGACTATAAGGTTATTGAATATGTTTGACAGATGTAATGCCAACCAAACAAAACAAATATTAAGGCTCGTTCACAACAAATGTTCCTTACCAAGACTTTTATATCTTAACGCTCACTTCATACTGCACTGGAAATTTTTCGAGCAATATTTCTGTCAGTTTATATAAGGACTTATTTTTCACTTTTTAGTGCATGTTTTTAGTTTTTTATACTATATTTATTTCTAAAATGATCTGCTTCCAGAAGCGAAAATTTTTAAGTATTTTCTTGCGAATCTAATACGTTTTATATTGTATGTTATATTTCTTTGCTTCCCTACAACTGATCTACTCCTAATTTTTTGTTTTCTAAGAGTTACGAACGGTTTGATTAAATGTTATATTAAATTTAATATTTTTTATATCTTAGAAATTCGCATTAGGAATATATAATGTTCCTTGTTAGTTGATATGCACATATGTATGTGTTTTAGTACAATGGCAGCATAAATTTGTATTTTTAACTTTAACCATTTTTTAAAAACGTTTAATAATTTCCATTTAAAATAGTGACTTATAGGTGACTTTACATATGTCACTAAGGACTCATTGATTGTTAGTCAAACTTGGTGTGGGCCTTTGATCGTTTCATGATAACCATACCTACTTCCAATAGAATACCATTTGAAATATCATTAGACCATTCCATTCCATCGCCTTACATAAAATAAATTACTGCATTGTGATTGTGTATTATATGGGAGTATTTTATTAGAAAAATACAAGTACAAACACGAAAGAACCCCGTAAGCCAACTATGGATTATATCACCGGTTAATTAGCCAAGAGCGCCACCAGGTTTCGGTTAAAGTTACTATGAATTTCTTAAGGCTAAAAAGATAAATTTAACCGAAACTCATGTTTTTAATATATTGGAGTTTCGATAGTCGTGACTTGTTGAATAAACTCTAATGTCGAATGAGCTAATTTCAATGTTGCCAGAGGTGAAACAAAGGAGACATTGCTTTAAAATCAATCGCTACTATTGTTGATGAAAATTAAAACCAGAAAAGCAATTACATAACCTTCGGTTTAAAATTGGTTTACCTATTATTCTTCAGCGTAATTTGAATCCACTCAATTATTAATAAAATTTAATGTATAAGGTTGTCATATATCTCCATTCCGCTTTTTTGTCTTTTGAATTTCGCGGCTATGTACAAAGCTCTACAGAGCTCGTATCTGGCAACACTATACATAATTTGAAAGGTCTTGACATAACCTACAAAACAACGCTATGCATGATTAGTTTGGATATTGCGTTCAACAGTTATAGATGTGTAAACATGGAGTTCACTAACGCCGAAATTCGCGCTATTTTAAAGTTTTCCTTCGTTAAAGGCAAATCCGCTAGAGAAACGTTCCGTGAGATTAATGGTGTTTTGGGGGATGGTACTCTATCACTTCGAACCGCGGAGGAATGGTTTCGACGATTCAGAGCCGGTGAAAACGACACCATGGATAAGCCAGTCGGCGGAAGACCTGTGACGACAAATACCGATCAAATCATGGAATACATCGAGTTAGACCGGCATATGGCATCTCGTGATATCGCCCAGGAGATGGGAGTTAGTCACGAAACCATTTTGAACCATCCGCAGAAGGCTGGATACAAAAAAAAGTTTGATGTTTGGGTGCCGCATAATTTGACGCAAAAAAACGTTCTGGACCGAATAAACGCCTGCGATATGCTGCTGAAACGGAACGAACTCGTCCCATTCTTGAAGCGGATGGTGACTGGCGACGAAAAATGGATCACATACGACAATATCAAGCGAAAACGGTCGTGGTCGAAGGCCGGTGAATCGTCCCAAACAGTGGCCAAGCCGGGATTGACAGCCAGGAAGGTTTTGCTGTGTGTTTGGTGGGATTGGAAGGGAATCATCCACTATGAGCTGCTCCCATATGGCCAGACGCTTAATTCTACCATCTACTGCGAACAACTGGACCGCTTGAAGCAGGCGATCGACCAGAAGCGTCCAGAATTGGCCAACAGGAAGGGTGTAGTGTTCCACCAGGACAACGCCAGACCACACACTTCGTTGATGACTCGTCAGAAGCTACGGGAGCTCGGATGGGAGGTTTTATCGCATCCACCATATAGCCCGGACGTAGCGCCAAGTGATTACCACCTGTTCCTGTCCATGGCGAATGCCCTTGGTCGTGTGAAGTTGAACTCAAAAGAGGCTTGTGAAAAGTGGCTGTCCGAATTCTTCGCAAATAAGGAGGGGGGCTTCTACGAGGAAGGTATTATGAAGTTGCCGTCTAGATGGAAACAGATCATCGAACAAAACGGCGCATATTTTAACTAAACTGTAACACTTTTTATAAAGCATTGAATGAAGAGCAAAAAAGCGGAAGGGAGATATATGACAACCTTATATGTCTTAGTCGCAGCAAAACGTGACCGGGGACTTGATGTGATTATATAGAAAATAGATTGAGACGCAAAGGTTCTCACTTAATTTCAATAATATATATCTGGTCTGATTGACCGATATTTTTGGCAAAAACTCAGCCATAGTCACTAGGGTCTACATATCTGGAGGCTTAAAAAGTTATATTCCCATTTTGACGTGAGATGGCATATCTTAAATGTAAGTAAAGTTCAATTCCGGTATGTTCATTGGTGCTTGGTTTATATATTGGGTAGTGCCATTTGCATTATGAAATTTTACATCGATTCCTATGAAGTCCTTAAATATCTTGCCTAACATTATATGTGGAATGGGCGTAGATATCATCAGATTTAATCCGTTTTTCTTCTGTTTAAGTTTCATTTAAATATCGTAATTTTTACTTAAGTTATTGCAGAAATACGGATGGACAGACAGACATCCAAAATTCATATCATCTCCTCATCCTGATCACTTTGATAGGGATATTTATATAACTCAATTTCTATCTTGATTAGTTTTAGGTGTTGCAAACAACCGTTGGGTAAACAAAACTATTATACTCTGTGTCAACAAGTGTAAAAAAATATGTTTCTTTAACTTACAAAATACTACTACAAACAATAATCTGACACCTGTGAACTTTATAAGTGTATTTTGAAGGTTATGTTTAACTGCAAAATATGTGGACTTTATTCTTTCTCTAAAAACTTTTCAAACCGAACCGTCAGATAGTTGTCACCTCGAAATTATGTACAACTGTATGTATTATTAGCATATCGCATTTACGAAACTTGAAGTCAGCAATTGTGTGTGTATATGTGTTCAGAAGAATTAAACCGCAATTCATGCAAATTATCACAAAAGAAATGCAAAGATTACAATGGAAAAGCTCATAGGGACGGTTTGATGCAGTGGAACCTGCTTGCCCTGCAAACGCAAATCATTTGATTTCATTCGCTGGGGATGGTATGGCTGCAATTGTTTTATAATAATCACTGACAAAGGATTTAAGAAATACATATGTATGTATGATACACAAATTCCTTTATTGTCCAACCTACTTCGGTATGATATACACAGGTGCACTTACAAGGGTTCATTACAACGCTTTTATTAGCTTCACCTGTATGTTTGCCTGTAAATTGTGGGATCGTTTGTGTCATATTTTTCATACATCGAGCATATCACACTTTTTTCACAATTATATATACAAGTATTTTTCAGTCAATATTACTGTCAGTTTATATAAGGTGTTATTTTTCACTTTTTAGTTTGAAGTGCTTTAAAAGCGTGTTTTTTAGTTTTTTAAATTTATTTAATGTTAGCCAATGTGGATTTTGAAAAATCAGTTTACATATAATAACAGCAAGAGTAAAATAAAATTATATTATTAAAAATAAAATATAAATCTCAATATACTTGTATTGGGTTGGCAACTAAGAAATTGCGGATTTTTTTTTTTTTTTAATCAAAGACAATTTTTTCATGGAACTATAACTTCATTCTGTAATGTATTGCCCATTTTGATCAATGACCTTTTGCCATCTTTCAGGCAGCATCTTAATCCCACGTTCATAAAACTTCAGGTTTTTATTAGCAAAAAACTGAATCAGGTACGATTTGACATCATCATCATTATTGAAATTTTTATCATTCAAGGAGTTTTGTAAAAATCGAAACAAAAAGTAATCCGATGGTGCAAGGTCAGGACTATACGGTGGATGTGGCAAACCATCCCAACCAAGCTCCAATAATTTTTGCCGAGTGACCAAAGATGTGTGTAGCCTTGCATTGTCATGATGAAATACAACACCTTTTTGATTTATCCATTCGGGCCGCTTTTCTTCAACTGCATTGTTTAATTTCGTTAGTTGTTCAATGTAGACAACAGAATTGATCGTTCGGTTGGGTGGTAAGAGTTCAACCCATGTATCGAGTTTTTGTACATAGCCAAGTTGTTTTAAGTGGTTTTCAATGCATGTATGTGATACCTGAAGCTTTTCTGCAATCTCACGTGTTGTACTGTGTTATCTTTGAGTGAAAAATCACTAGAACGAAATTTGGCAAACCATTTTTGATCCTGCCGTTCTTTTATGGCTTCGTCGCCATAAACAGCACATAACTTTTTGTGAGCTTGCGATGCGTTTTTCCCTTTGCGAAAATAAAAAAGCAAAATATGACGAAAATGTTCCTTTTGATCTTCCATTTTTCAACGAACGCCAAAGGAAAACTACACAACCAATCAAAAAACTTTTTTTTACTGATTGACAGCTAAATTGCCAACTATCAAATAACAAAATGTATTTTACATTTGGAATACGCCAGCAAACCATCTGAAATCCGCAATTACTTAGTTGCCAACCCAATACATACAAACAGAGCATATACGAGTATATAATCATGTTTGGACGATATGGATACACGACATGGTGGGTCTTAATACACTTAAGAACTATACTATATATATCTAATGTTATTACTTACTCAAATGCAAAAAAGAGTGCACTGGTTCCCGTTATCAATATGCAAGTTAAATAAAAAACGCCCGTGTGTGGTGCGGACATCAATAATCCATCGCAGTAAAATTTATTGCGCCCAGCAAATAACTCCCATTTCCGAGTTATCCTCGTGTTCGGCGCCATATTACCACAGCAGCAGCACAGTAAGTTCATTGGTGTTCGTATCGACTTGCAAGCAATCTCGGCAGCAGATGTTCGTGTAATTTACCGAAATTTAGCCTTACTAAGTAACAAAGTAATTTTTCTCATTTGTCTTCGATGTTTATGTATTATATATTTCAATGAACTCTGCATTTATTTCCGTTTAATACACAAATAATATCACATTTATTGTCAGTATTTTAAAATGCAATATGAATATATATCATTAACACCTCAGTAAATTTTTCATTTAATTTGTTTTTCAATTATCTCACTGTTATTTTCGCTTCCATTTTGCTCTAGCCATAATTTTCGTTTCCTTATTTCGCCATTGCCAATATGGACGGCAGAACATTATAAGAAAGTGGCTTTTCGTTGAATTGTTTCTATGCTGAAGTTAAATAACATCTCTTTCCAACATCTCTTATTGTTCTGAATCGCTTTCTTCTATGCATTTTAATTGACTTTTTAATTTCCTGTTAAATACAAAATTTTATATACATATATGTACATAAACAAATTAACTTAACGGTCTAGATTTGCTTATATACAATAATACAATATTTCCGCTTTGATCCATATAAATGGTTAAACCATTTGTTACAGTAATTTTATATATAATATTATATAATGAAATAAAATAAATGTTTTCCTTTTTTGTTGCAGTAACCTAGCATCAAAAGAGTTATGCCGAAACAATAATTCCTAATGGGCAATGACCATCTTATGCAAACAAGCAAATACATCAAATATTGTATGTATTAGACGTACCATGTGTCTAATCTTATCTTTGATTGTAAAAACAAAAACGAAAGCGACTTGGTTTTATCTACATTAATCAAAATCGAATTTCGCAACTCAACATGACTGTTTCGATTTCTCTAATGTATTAAAAACCAAGAGATATTGCATCGGTACTAATGTACTTTAAGTCCTACATGTGCCAATGTCAATGTATATGAGCTAGAATTTACATGTGAGTACGTATATGTATTTGTATAAGTGTATCTATCTATGACCGCATTTACCACTTATTGCCCGAATTATAGAAACGTTTTTTTTACATGCACGGCGGGCATAGCATTCCTGTTGACATATCATTGCATGCACGTGACAGCTCAAGATATGAAACGCAAAAGAATGCACGTGACAAGCCACACAATTGTCCTTGTTTTAGATGAGAGTCTAATAGAGTAAATATGTAATATAAGTACACAGTTACAAACAAATATGCCCGTCGACACGGGGGTGATTCCTCTGTGCTCGGAATTCTCGAAGGGTCCGGTATTTTCCAAAAAGTTAGGTGAATAGTTAACAAGTAAAAAAGGGCTAAGTTCGAGTGTAACCGAACATTTTTTACTCTTGCAACTTGCAAGGATCAAAGCAGGGAAAATACCTTCAGGTGTTAGGAAAACTTTATGTTAAAAAATGTAGTGAAACAATGCAACATTCAATATTCGACGAAATCGTAAATGGATTACAATCAAATTTGGTATATAATTAAGATATATTATAGGTCACAAACTCACTAATTTTATTCATACTCCCACACAATTTTTAAGAAAACATGTTCATTTAATTTTATTAAAGTATCACACATTTTGTCAGGTGGAAAGAAAGAAATTATTATACAGGCTATATTGGGGACAGAGATTACTGAGCATTGCTGAGATATACTTAGGATCACATTTTCAAGCAATTTTATAAATATATGTATAACTCACACATTGAACGACATGTTTTCGGTATAAGGTTTGTTAGAATAACGAAAATCAATATATGTAGTTTTTCGCAGTTGGGGTAATCGTAGAGTAACTTCACTTAATTTCGGATTTAAACTATAGTATATTCAATATTATACGTTCAACTCCACCGCCCAACCTGAAGCTAGAAAATCAATTCTCAAAATCAAAATTAGGTATATTAACAGAATAAAGTGCTCACTGAGTTTCATCAAGGTACCTCACATACCCTCACCAACATATATGGAGTAAAATCAACTGGATGTTTGAAAATTCTGTGATTATTATAGGGGGGCATTTTGACAATTTTCAAAGGCACTATTTGTGCAAAATTTTGTCCCGATATATTCTTTGGTGATTGATTTATATTCTGAAAAATGTAAGAATCATATGGAATTAAAAATTTTGCTATATGGGCGTGATTGCAGACCGATTTCGCACCGTGGCATGAGAATGTGCAAATTTGAGTCATATGAAGAGATATACATTAAACGTATTAGAGGCGGAGCCACGCCCACTTAAAAAAAATGTTTAACCTTTGATGGCCTTTCCCAATGCAATTCCCTGTACCAAATTACAGGTTTCTATCTTGTATGTAAATGTAGTGCTTATTTATGGTATTTTATAGATTTTCGATTAATGGTGTTTTGTAAGCGTGGCAGTTACAGAAAGAAAACTACAATTTTGGAGCTAATATTTTCGGATTTTTCTTAATTTTCCGAACTATTTTTCTCTTGTCCGCATTTGTGAAAATTTTATTTGGCGTTATATTTTTAAACAAGTAAGAAAGGGCTTAGTTCGTAGCCTTATTATTGAAGGTAATAAACTCACTTAGTTTTATTGCTATATTTTACTTCCTGTCAGCGAAAATTATACTAAAATCATTGGGGGCATAGAAATTGCATTTATTTTGGACATTGCTAGGTATACATGAGAACTTACATATTTTCGTGCAATTTTATAAATACAGTGACCAAAAAAAACCTTGTACAGCGAGATGATTTGTCTTTCAAGTGACTTATTTCATAAACTATTAAAACTTTTGAGTGGCAGTGGTTCGATCTACGAATACTAGTAACAAGTTTCATTAAGATATCTCAATTTTTATGCAAGTTATCGCTTGCATGGACGGACGGACGGAAGAACAGATTTTTATGGTGTCGTTCAAAAATGTTTAAATATTTTCAGTAGCAGCGCACAACGTTGGGAAATTATGAAATCCAAAATCCCCAATTCACTTCACCTTCTTCCAAATACAAGGTGGTCTACCTGAATCGTGGCCGTCAAGCCATTTGCGAAACATCTTCTCGAATTCATAAACGCTTTGAAAGAGGTTAAAAACTCTTAACTTACGGCAGAAACTCGTCGAGGCGTTGATGGAATATTAAAATATATAAGAGCAAATTTGAGTGCGTTTTAAAGGCCTTAGTATGATTTAAAATCATTCAGCCCATCAATGAAAGAAACTTGGTTCTTCAAGAGATCAATGTCACCATCGACGCTATATATAATATTTAGAAATATCAAAATCCTTTTTGTGGCTTTGCAATTTCTGCGCGACCAGTGGAAAGTAATTTATAACGAATTCAAAATTGCTGCAGAGAATTTAGAGCATATCGAGACGATTTTAACATCAGCAAAAAAAAACAAACCACGTAAACTACCTACATGAAGAAGTGGGTGAAAATAGCAGTCAAGAAGAAATCGAATTCAAAAACGATATGAAAGATGAACTCAACACAGCTGCAAAAAAATGTACACAAAAATATTCCGTTGATGTACCATATCTGATAAGTTGTCCAAGAAAGCTATTCACCTCAGACACGTTTACGATGCAAATTTTGAAACCCGTCTGACTCCTTACAACTCATTGAATGCCACAATGCTCGAAAATTAGGAAAACTTTTCCCAAATATTTGCATCGCTTTGAGAATATTTTGCACTTTACCCGTTTCGGTTTCAAATAGTGAACGTCCATTTAGTGTTTTAACAAGCTTCAAGAATTTAAATCGATCATGCTCGTCACAGGGCACGATTTCAGGACTAGCTACACGGTATTATAGACGAATTCGCTGCCGCCAAAGCTCGAAAAGCTCACTTCTAAGTTCCAAATAATTGAATATTAATAATTGAAGATTGGAGTATTTTAAACTTCATGTTCAAAACCTTAGTCGATAGTCAACAGATATCAAAACAACCGTTAATTAGATCGATAAATAAATGTTTGAATGAGATGTTTCTGTCTTTTTTATTAACTATCAAGTCTTGCTATCCTAATATTCATACATTCCGGTATAATCTAAAAAAGTATTTTTGACTGAAAGTCTATGTATGAACATTATTGATTTTCAAAATCGTACAAAACAAATTTATTCCACCCAACGACAGCAATAAATCTAAATAATTTAATACAAATGTGATGAGAGCATAAAACACTACGTCGTATTTTACTTATTCTTCAAACACATAGAAGTAGTAAGTGGGAAGATAGTTAATAAAGTTTAAAGTATTAGAAGTATTTACCCCTGAGCCCAGTTTGGTAGTTACAGAATAATATTAAAGGGGTCTTCTAGTCTAGAAATAAAAAAAAATTTATTTTTATTTATTTATATTTTATATTTTCACAGATTTATCTGAAATATTTTAGAGAGTATTATTTATAGACTTGTCTGTCTTTTAATTTTTACTATCTTTAAAAAATGTGCTACAAACATTTTTTTTTCAGGCAGTCACCATTTCGTGAAAATAAAAATGTTCCAACTTTTCTGTAGAACCAGACATAGCGATATTATTCTAGATTAATAATTCTTTTTGTTTCAGATTGCTAGGAGAGTTAAAATCGTGGGTATGGTCACTTGCCCATTTACGACTTCCAGGCATGTAAAAAATTAAGTTCAATGTCAACTAATAAAGTTTATTTCACGAATTAACAAAAGTGTTTACAATTTTGTTTACAATTGACATGCTGTCCTATGTTCATTCTTCTCATCTCAAAAGAATTACGTCATAAGGTATGGTACAGTATGATGCAATTTGCTTTTGTAACAATTGTCACAGCATAAACTAAAAAAAGGAACAGTAAATATGTCATAATCTTGTATTCAATCATTCTTGCGCCAAACCAAAAAATTTGCAAGAATTATCGAAAAATAGCAAAAATGCTTGAGAAAATATACTCCTCCAAATGCACCAAATTAATTAAAAATCATGAAGAAACAACTTAATAATTGTCGAAATCCGACTATAACCTTTCAAACCCCAAATACAAATAGTAGATTAGAATATCTGTCAATTGGTGGGATATTTTAATCCAATTCAGAGAACAACTTTGGCAGACACCTTGTCGTGGTGCCGGAGTTTAAGTCGTAACGCAATTCGGTCTCTCTCAACCCGTGTAAGTGGTATTGTAGATGATTTCTCAGACGGGTTGCAAAAAATTGCATTTGTAGGATGACTAACAATTGCCTCATCCAGGATTTTATGCGACTCCCGTGCCCATTGGATGATTTTCAGACAGAAGCCAGGACTTCGCTCCTAATCCCCGTCAGGTGATGGAGAACCAGCACAAATGCTTCGATGCGACATTAAAGTCGTAGGGCCTCATCGAACTTCAGGAAAAATAATAGTAATTAAAAATTCAAATATTATGGATGTGATTTATAAAGGGGTGTAAGTACCTTTAAATGGATCTGTAGACTCATGGCGCATTACCCGGCGGATTTTTCACTTTCGAA